GGGGGGTTATGAGGGGGAGGTTTTGGGGTTGTGAGGAGGAAATGGATGGTGAAGTGGCGGCTTCGGCTAAGCGATACTGATCTTGTCGACGAGCTCTTTTAACGTCTAGTAGCGAGCTTCTTGTAACCCTCGGTACTTGTGTGATCCGCAAGATGTGTATAGTGTGTCGAGGTAGCGATCTAGATCGCTTTTGCCTAGCATTAGGCCTGGGTCACGACTCGTGCGGCTAGCATTAGATTGCTGGGTTTCGGTCGCGAGGATTTTGCCGAGTCTGGTCTGGAAAGGAAGCGATACATCAGCATGGTCGTCTCATTCCCTTCAATCACCATATCTTACAGCTTGAGCATACGCCCTCGTGTGATAACTGCCCCACATATCCATCTGCTCAGGAGATAGTCTCAGCAAAGCAAAGAACGAAGACAGAGCCTCATGCGTAGCATCGATAGACCCATAGACATCCGCGAACACGCCAGCGTCCGGATTTTCGTCAAGATATAGTACCGTCAAGACGCCAAAGAAGCTGCTGGTTATAGTCACTAACTGTCGAGCCAAACGGAGATCTACCGTCTCGAAACGCTTGGGGTTCTGCGAGTTGAAAGGGTACTTCCAGTTGGAGTACATGTCGCGGAAGCAGGCGATCAATGTCGTTTTATGCGAGGCGCTGGTGGTGATGGGTGTGCCGATGGCTTGCGGGATGCAGATGTGCTCTTGTACGAAGGTCGCCCACTGCCACATGGATTGTTCGTATGCGACGTCGGGTTCGAAATCTGTCTCAATCATAGGGTCGACTAGATTTAGGCGCTCAATGCATCGTACTGCTGAAGGTGGCAAGTGCAAGTGATATGCTATGCTCACGTCCTGGACGACCACCGCCTGCCATATTCGTCTTTGGAGCTGGCGATGTTGGTCGAAAAGCCCGCCTGGGTCAGAGTCTAGGCTTCGGTGCAAGCGGAGGGCATAAGCCTGACGGACCAAGATTCCCGAGAATGTCCACGCTTCCGAGATGCGATTCGTGTTGATGAGCAGGTGGCCGATGAGGAGAATGACTTGAGCCGTGCCCAGAGAGAATTTGCCTAGATACGAGCACAGACAGAGCGATTGATGGCTTGCTGAGAGGTAGATATCAGCCATACAACCACGTTCGTCCGGCTCGATATCCGGTGCGAAGTAAGCACCAGCAGCGTAAACGACGAAGTGCAGCGCGAGCTTGGCTGCGTCGTAGCAGTATTTGTCTTCCAGCGACATGGCCCAGAGGTGCTCCATCTCTGCAATCAGATCCTCTCGAGACAGCATTGGATATAGGGGATCAACGGAAGCGAAAAAGTTCTCAACCAACGACAGCGCACGTTCTCTTTTCGGCAACACCGTAATGACCTCGGCGAGGCCCCCGTCTTTAGTCCAGTAATTCTGGAAAGGATGCTCAACGGTGGCTGGAACACCGATCCCGTCAATTGTAGGTGAGTCTACTCGCTCTGAAATTCGTGTGGTTGCCAGTATATAGGTCTGGTCCCATGCAGCGGGTTGGTTGAAGACAGGCGATGCGTTGAAATCATTCTCGAATGCGGGCCCCTGGAGAAAGGGCAGTCCAAATGTGTCCTGCAAACTGGCTGAGGGCTGGACAGAGACTGTGATCGCTGTCCTCTTGGCTCGTCTGGCCCCAATGATTGGAGCAAATTGGCGATTTCGGTATAGGTACATGGGGTCTGGCGTCTGATGCTTTCAGAGTGTCAGCGTCGCCGTGTATGAGTGCAGGCGTATATCGAGTATGAGCTACCATCGTCTACATCTAGGCCGATCTCTGCTGCACCTAGTTTTCCTCGAAGTACATGCACTGCAAGTCAGAGTCGGTTTGTTTCTTTTTTGCTTAGTGCGACGACGCGGACTGTGCGAAGGCTTCTGTGTCGAGTTCGTGTTAACTTCTGTAGTCTCCATCACGGGGCGACGGTTCCTCAACTGCAGAGCGTATTTCGAATAGTATGGGGCGCCTATGTCGTATACGATGCTGATATGGTGGGAAATGTCTCTTCACTCAAATGACAGCCTCTCAGGTTTTAAGCCCAAGTAGGAAGGAGCAGTCGCGTTGCTATTGGACGATTGATGCGAGTGGTCTGAGCGTCTCAGACTAACAGCCGAAAATGCGGGGAAGCTGCGGGGATCAAGAACTTAATTCCCGACTTCACGTCTTCACCAACGAGCAAGATTTGCGCCATGTGTTCTTGTTCCTGCATAATCACGGAACACAGCTTTTCAATTAATTCTCACTGCAAGTACTTTCATCGCTGTCCTTCAGACAGACTTCGCTATCGCCCAGACTGCACATCCTCCCTTTTTCTCAAGACGGAACAGTAACGTCGGGAATTGTCCCAAGACCAAGGCCTGGCAGAGTCGGTGGAGTGACTGGAAAGCCGGCCACCTCATTCGGAAGAGTGAAGTATGCGGGTGGATCGATGATTCTGCAGTCCTGAGTATCGATGACCCCAGGAACGTAGATGGCGGTCTTGATGGGAAGTGGAACCCCAAGAGCACCGACACCGAAAGTCTGCAAGAGAGGCAGTGTGAGCATCATTCTGTACGACACTGGCCGAGAAGGACCTACCACTTCAGCATCCATCACGGTCGTTCCATTGTCGTAAGCAGTGAATATTGTATCAACACGAGCGACGGCTTGTCGTGCAGCAGCGGCGACGTCTTTCGAAATGGCTCCGTTGAGGCCGAGTCGAAGGCATGGCGCACCGTTGATGCAGCTATAGGGAAAATTTCAGTACGAGCAGCGACTTCTGGGGCAGGATACTAACAATTCAATGGTACCATCCGGCTTGAAGGGAGCGTTCTCGAGGGTGGCGATCGAGTTCAGATCATTGGGATCGTTGAATGCACCAATGATTGTTTGAGCAATCTTCAGTCGTGTGTCCTTCGTACATGGGGTAAGTGGTGGATACGGTGTGCCCAGGTTGGCAGTCGGGGCTGCGCTGGCACTCAAGAAGAAACCCAAGAGAAGTGTCGAGAGATGCATCATTCACGATACTTAGCTCACGGCTAACGCAGGACTCTCAGAACTCGGGGGTCGCGAGCTTCAGAAAAATGATGGGTATGAGACCTATGGTTGAATGGCTCGAAAGCTCCTTTTGTACACGCTGTTGAATGCAGCATGATCAACTGTGCGTACCTAAAATTGCTGTTCTTCCAGGTGTTCCGCAATTCCCCATAATGCACAGTCCGGAGATCATCACAGTAGACTTGCGCCTGTGAGGGAAGTGGCTGACGGATATAGAGCGGCTGCTGACAGACAGTAAAGTCGTGGCTGGCTTTTGCTCGAAGGAAAGCGAATTTGAAGTTACTTTGCTCTTTTCATCCAGCTCTGCCACTCGATCCAGGACGGTTTTCAATAGTTCTCGGTGCCCCAATCGATTATCAGCAGCCTAAGTGTTTCTCTGCGCGGAATTCAATCACACTTGTTCACTTCGCGGAAATAGAGCGGGCGACCGCTCGAGGGATCCTAACCCCACGTGAGCATTGGCGGGAGCATAGCTCATCCTTCTACTTGACAACAGCTCTCATCGGTCGAAGGGACTCGATCGAGACAATTTGCGAATGGCTTCAACGAACAAACGACTCGAACAGGTCCTTCACCATGTCCACAGCGAACCATCAAAGCATGCAAGCCCGTCGCCACCAGATGTCATTTGCAAGACACGAGAACATACTCCCGGCCACAACGTCGCTACCATAACGTTTTCTAACCCGACCAAGCTCAACGTCGCAAGCCATCATCTATTACAAAAACTGATTGACATCTGTCAAGATCTCAGCAAGGACGATAAATTACGAGCGGTCGTCTTCACGGGAGCTCCGCCACCAACCGCCAGCAAAGCACCAGCGTTTATTGGAGGTGCAGATATCCAGGAACTCAGCAAGCTATCATCGTCCAGCCAAGCGAGGACGTATATCTTGCATGTCCATAATGCATGTGCCGCGATCGCAGCCTTGCCTGTGCCGGTCATCGCTCGAATGCACGGATTTGCTCTCGGTGCCGGGCTGGAACTCATGAGTTCGTGTGATTTAAAGCTTGCCACAAAAGTGAGCAAGTTTGGCATGCCAGAAGCCAAGATTGGGCTGCCATCTGTCGTGGAAGCTGCTCTATTCCCAAGCTTGATCGGAGCCGGACGAACAAAGCGTCTTGTCTATCTCGCCGAAATCCTCTCCGCAGATACAGCTGAGGACTGGGGGCTGATTGAACGAGTGGTTGATGATGTGCCGGCGCTGGATAGAGCTGTTGATGAGTGGGTAGGGATGATTGTGAAGATGGGTCCTGGTTGCATGAGGCTTCAGAAGAGGCTTGTTAAGAAGTGGGAGAATTCGACGTTACAGGAAGGTATCTGGGCGGGTGTAGAGGCTTTGGAGGAGACTTATGCGGATGGAGGGAAGGAGGCGAAGGAATATATGAAGCCGTTGCTGAAGTGACAGAAGCCTTCAATGGCAGGTTCGTAGTGATCTTCCTGCCCTAGCCAGAAAAATTGTGCTGTTGAATTGCTCTGCTACACAGATCGACTCAAGGCAACGACAGATATATCGTCGACAGAAAATAAGTCAAGCGTAAGTCTACATATGCGTTCGAATGCAGGCACAACATGAATTTCCGTTCGTGATCTAACAAAGTCCATCAAAGCAGGGTCTGCCTCCAAGAAGGCTGCGGCCGGATATAGAACGGATTGGCTGCGTAGAGCTACGGCTACGGCTACGGTACTGTAGAGCGGAGTACTTCCATAACTGTCAAGGTACATTTGTACTTCCGGGATGCCGATTCTGATGCAGGTTTCTCTCAACTCGGTGGACAATAGTTGATGACTTCTCTAGCTCTAGACTTTCGGTGCTTCAAAGTACATCACATGTTCGTGACGTCCAGGCACGTCAGTGTTGCAACAAGAATCGCCGCCCGATGGCACGCCTTATGAGAGCTGCTCAATATGACAAGGCATGTCAATTTACTTGCTCGTAATGCGAGACCATAACCTCATATCTAACAATCCCAAGGAAAATGACAAAGTCCTCGTCCACGAGATCCCAATTCCCGAACCCAAAAAAGACCAACTCCTCGTCAAAATCACCGCCGCCTCCCTCTGCCACTCCGACCTCATGATGTCCCGACGCCCCTCCGGCCTCGGGCCCCTAACAATCGGCCACGAAGGCGTCGGCGTCGTCTCCAAACTACACCCCTCCTCCGAAGGACACGGCTTCCGCATCGGCGACACGATCGGGATGATATGCATCATAGACGCATGCTACGAGTGTGAAGGGTGCCGCGTGCATGGATCTTTCTGCGTTGGGTCGAGGAAGGGCGGCGCGAAGATTCAGGGGTTGGCGGCCCATGGGTATTTTGCTGAGTTTGCGGTTGTGGATTGGAGGAGTGCGATTCTTTTGCCGGGGAGTTTGCCGGTGGAGAGGATGAGTCCGTTGTTTTGTGCAGGGATCACGTGTAAGTCATACAGTTCAGTGTTTCTTGCGTCTTGAGGCGAGGTTGAGATTCATACAGCCTTCCACGCCGTCGACAAATGCAGTCTCGAACCCAGTCAATGGCTCGCGATCGTCGGCTGCGGTGGCCTCGGGCAGTTAGCAGTCCGGTACGCCAAAGCCATGGGCCTGAAAATCTGCTGCTTAGACGTGAACGACCAAGTCCTCGAGACAGCCTCCCAGAACGGCGCAGACGCCATATTTAACACCCAAAAAGACCCCAAATTCGTCAGGAAAATCCGTCAGTTGACCCAAAGCCGTGGCTGCCACGCCGCTGTCGTCTTCAGCGATGCAGAAGCAGCGTACACCACCGCACAGAGAATTTTGACGTTCGATGGGCTGCTGATGGTCGTGGGCATGCCAGATACTCCCCTGAAGTTTCCAGCGTTCGCCATCTCGACGAACCTTATTCGTGTCAAAGGGGCGAGCAATGGGACGGCGGCGGAGTTGAAGAAGGCTGTGGATTTCATGGCGAAGCATCATATCGTTCCTGATGTGCAATTTCGGCCGTTGGAGGAGATGCCGCAGATGTGGTGGGAGATGGCGAATGGCAAGGCGAAGGGGAAGTTGGGGGTTTCTTTTATTGATGCGAAGAGTAGACTCTGATGACGGAGTGTCGTGTCGATACTGAGCAACGCTCTGTTTGAGGATTACTGAGATCCGCTCAGAGCCTCCGAGAAACCTAGACGCAGATTTCAGCTCACAGCCCTTACAAAAACATCCTACCACCCCTGAGTCAGCCTCAAACATCCACAATCACGAGCCCTTAACCTTCCCCTCCTCCCTCCCCCTCCCCAACACCCCCTCCACCCCCCTCCAAACCCCCAACCCAACCGCCCAAACCCCAAGACAAACAGCACAAAGCACCCCCAACCCAAACGGCACATTAACCAAAACCCACCTCAGCTGCTCCCCGCCCTCCGGCCCCAGTCCACAAAGCACCGAATACATCAAAAACGCCACAAACATCACGACCAGAGACCCCGGATGGCCCAGGTCGAAGTGCAAGCCGGCGAGCAGGCGCCCGAGGTGGAAGGTCGCGACGGGGAGGGCCATGGCGAGGGCGAAGGAGGCGGCGAGGAGGAGGAGGTAGTAGGAGATCTGGGGGCGGTTAGCGGGGGTGGGTTGGGATGGGATTTGGGGTGGGGAGGTTTTTGCGTACGAGGAGGACTGTGTAGGCTGTTGAGGCGAGGGAGGTGTCGGTTGGGAAGGTAGGCATGGTTTTGGCGATATATAGACACAATTGGTTGTTTGTTTCCGATTGCGTTCCTGAGCCGATTTCTCTTCTCTCGGGTACAGATATTGTAGTGGCGGTCTTCTTCGTGAAGTTTTTTTCGTCCGATCTTCGAGTCGCTCGAGTCGAAAGGGCCCTAGCTCCGGAGTAGACCTCGCTGGCAGGCAGGAAGTGTCCTACACGGAAGGGACGCTCTTTGTGAAGGCAGATTGGTAAGGACAACCAAGTCCTGGATCCTCGATTTGCTCTCCGTGGGCTCAAGTCCTTCCAAATTCTTTCAAGATATTAAAAATTGTGAGACAGTCAAAGATACCTATACTTCCCCTCTCTCGCCCCGTGAGGCTGTGTATCGTGCATATACGTCCCGCCCATCCCGCCAAGCCCCACCCTCCCACGGGAATCCTCCAAGGAAAGTCGACCGCATCGCCTTCATCATCGAAAGCAGCACATTCGCCGAAGACGACAAGGAAAGATTTTATGGAACTTCGGCGGTTCATTTCTTATTTTCTCTCTCTCTTCGATTGAAAATGCACTACATAGCTCCGAAGCTTTACTGCAACCCGTGTTTGAACAGGCTCTCTATTTGATCCCATCCGTCTCCTTCCCATCTCAACAAGAAACAGAGCACAAAACGCCGCCCAGCACCACCAAGACGCTGCGAGGAGAAAGAGCAAAAGTTGTCTTCTTCTTCAGGGATTCCAAAACTTTGTGCGCTCTCCAACTCTTCTCGGAAAGCACTCTTCTCGGAAAGCACACTTCTTGGGTAGCATTTACGCGAATCGAATGGCTGGTACCAAACTGCTTCTCTAGAGTCTGGCCTTGGTCGCGCTCTCGCTCTCCATGACGGCCCGGATGTCCTGGGCGGCTTCGTTCAGGAAGAAAGCCATACGCTCGGCGCCGAGGTTCTTGCTGACAATGTTGAACTGGATGCTGTTCTCGTTGATCATGTAGGCCATGCTGTAAACATCGTCAGTACTACTCTCATCAAGGAATAATTTCGATTCACTTACCCCCAACCGTCGTCAATGACTTGCGACCAACCGTATCCGTTGTAGTACTCAGAGCTCAATTGCGAAGAGCTGATGAACCAAGTGCTGCTGTACGAGTACGCCGGGTCCTTAAAGATCTCGGGTACATCCTCACCAGGCTGGAGCAGCTTCTTCAGACCAAACAAGTGTCGATCGCATCCCTTGCCGTCACTAGCAGCAGTGATGTACTCGGTGTGAGCGGAGAGCGCCTTCCTGAAAAGGTCTCTGCACTCCTCGTCGGTAGACAGTGGATGTTGCATTGAAGCGCAGAAAGCCACGCTCTCATCGGAAACGGTTCGGCAGGTTTCAGTTCGGCCTTCTTGGAAACGACGAGTGGCGGCGGATTCGTATGTCGGGCGGCTCTTGCCGTAGAACTTGTAGTAGGCAAGCTGGATGACCATTTGCACGTAGGCGTCGGGGGAGCACTTGAACTTCTTCATAAGACCCTTTCCGTATCCCTGGAACGCCTCGACGCGGAGCTCATGCTGGCTGATGAGGCTGACGTGGTGGGTGGTAGCAAGTGCGACGTCTGCGTAGTTCTCGCCAGAAAGCTTGAATCTGATAGGAGCTGGGTCTGGGATGTCAGATCGGAGTTGTGGGTTCTCAAAGTCGAGCTTCTCGTTGAAGATCCAGTGCATGATCGTATCGTTCAAACGATGCGTTGGAGTGCCATCCATCATGCTGTGCTCGCCGTTGAAGCCAGAGGTACCGTTGTCATTGATGATCATTTGCAGTGGCTTGTCGAACCAGCGGTTGCTGCCGTCACCGTGCCAGTACTGGTGCGAGCGCTCGTGAAGAGTGATTGGAGTAGCATCGTCCAAGCAGACAACGAAAGAAGCAGATTCAATGGCCTCGATTGCAGCTTTGTTAGCTGGGTTCGACCTGATGAGACGCTCACGCATATCGGTCCAGTTGTCGCGGTTCTCAGTGGTCATGATACCAACAGCCGGAGACTTCTCGGCCATTTCGTATACTCGCCTGAACTGGTGCTCGAGCTCCTTTGTGCTAAGCTGGATGCCGTTGTGGGTGTGCGGGATCTTAAAGAAGGCGTTCTTGCGAATGACGAGGATGTGCTCATGGTCGTGGGAAGAGTACTTTACAGGGTAGTCGGCAGGCTTGGCTGGGACACGGCAGGCGTTGAACATCCAGATGTACGAGCTCATGGCCATGGGGAGCTTCTTCATGTATTCAGGCTCGAGCGAGTTCTCGTCGACCTGCCTCTTGAATTCCAAGGTTGCAGTCGAGATGGCAGCAGCTCGCTTAGCTGGGTCTCTTCGTTTCCTGTCATCCCTGTGGCTGTAAAAGTACGAGACATAGGGGATAATGGGGTCACGGTATCCGAGGTATGCGGCATTGTTCCACCACTCAGAAAGCCAATTCTTCGTCTTAGGGTCCCTGGCACGCTTCAAAAGTCGTTCTTGAAGAGTATGGCCAATAGCACCCGGCTTTGTGAAGGCCTCTACGGCCATTTTTGTGTTCTCATATTCGGCTTGGCTGAGGAGCGGGTGAACGGATTTGAGGTATCGTCTCGAAGTCTCCTCGAGGGTGGGAACGGGTAATCTGGGAAGGGAGTCTTCGTATCTGAGCATGGCACCTTTGGCGTGGTCCTCCCGGTAGCCTGAGCATCAATGTATTGTCAGTTCGACTTGCTCCGTATAGCCTGAAAGCCAGATCGTGGTATACGCACCCTCAGGCAGGCCACTGCTCTTTCTCGTCTGTTGCTGAGCCACCATCTTGTTCGTGTTCTGTGCGGAAAGAGAATGTTAGAGATGGGATGGGCACGTCCGAGGTCTTATGAAGTCACAAGTAGCGACATGATTTGCAGGGAAACCTACAGCTGCAGCTAATCCTCGGTAAACAGACTGTGAAGCAGAGCATAGGCCTCTTCTTCTCGCAACCGCGCCAAACATCCCAACAGCGGCGTCAAGGAGTGTAGCGAACGTAGAAAGGATGCAGGAGCACCTTGGCCGACTGAAATGTAATGCTAGACGTCGCCGGCGGTGGTGCTGAGAGCTTCCAAGCGCAGCTCCTGGTAGTTTTTGCCCTGACGCAATGGTCGGCGTTCAGACTTCGCGACAGCCGGACGATCAGAGTCTACCTCGGCAGGCCGGGATGTCTCGCGTTGCCGGGAGCCAAGTCTTTTGTTGCAAGGCCAGCCAACTCTTTCACATGTAGAAGTGCTGTATGCAGTCGAGCCGATAGGTGCGCATCAGAGGAAGACGAAGGAGGAAGTGTCGTCGCAGGTGTTGCAAGAGCCGCAGCCGGTGTTGCTGACGTTCTTGTTTCTGCTGTTTCGCACTCCGCCGGCTGTTCACGTGCGCGTTTTTTCTCCACAAAGCCTCCTGGCCTGGATCCCTCCCACGCTGCACCGGGCTAAAAGCGGTAAGCTGAGACTCTGGAGCGCTTCGCTGTGCGTGATGCGTGACTCGTTGGTCTTTGCTCGCCGCGTACGTCACCGAATGCCGTCGGTCCGTCGTCGTATATCAACTCGTGGTGGTTCGAAGAAGAGGAGTATAGAGAAGCAGACGAGAAGAAAAGCAGCTTTCCAAGCAATCGACAACCGTGTCGTCGGGGCCCCACGGGATATTTAAACACGGTTTCGAGCAACTCACTTTCCCAGGGAGCAAAATAGCATTCCCCGAGCGTTGAAGCCGCCCATCGGGTGGACCCTTGGCAGGAACAAAAATGTCCTGGCCCTTTCTTACCCGAAATCGAATGTGACCGGCTGTGGCGTTCCAAGCAATAGAGCAGGTGCAGATGAGCAGCGCAACGGGGAAAGGGGAGGCGCTTCAAAGCTGGGGTTGGACCGGCGTAAAAATGGTGCTTTCTTCGAAGACCGAGCGCTTGTCGTGGGGTGTCGTTGCGATAGACTTCCTCGCCAAGAACATCGAGATGCGCCTACGTTCTGAGAGCTACGCAGACCAAAGATTGCTTGACCAGACGATCACCACCACCGTTGCGAAGCGTTTTGTATCGCGTTTCTAAAGCATCAATCAATACTTTGGAGGCTCCGCGGTCTTAAGGTGTGTGTAACAGGCATCGGGAGTTTTCGTATGCAGCTATAAAGACGACATGAAGCTATCCCAGTTCCCAACCTTTGGGCTACTTTAGAGCTTCGATTGACCTTTTCGTTGGCGCGGACGATCGTGAGTAGTTGGAGATAGCTTCTTCGTGGCAAAGTGTGACACTTCCGCTGCTACAAAGGAAATCTTTTTGAACGGCTATAAATCTACAATGCTTTACAGACGCTCAATACATCCAAGCCTCCGTCCAGCACAAGTCTGGATCTGTGGCTTCTTCTCGGCTCCTCAAGTCCGTATGTTCAAGTATGTGTTTGAGAGGGGCAGCAATGATCTTCTGCACGACCATAAGCTACACTTCGACACACTTTTCTTGCAACTTCTGTAGAAATAGCTTATGGGTTCTCCTTGGCCCACTTCTCACCCTTCTCAATGTTGCCCTTGAGGTCCTTCAAGCACTTGTCGAGAAGACCCTGCTCGTGATCCGTGACCTTGCCAACTGGGTGAATCTCCTCAACACCGTTGGGGCCGAGGGTGACGTTCGATGCGAAGTAGGTGACGCCCTGGTCCTTGTAGAGAGGCGAGTCGACGAAGGTTGGCTCAACGACGCCCTTCTGGCCCTGAGCTGCCTTGAGAAGAGACTCGGCGAAGCGGGCACCAGCCATGGCCATGGAGAGAGTAGCAGATCCGGCACCGTCCTTGGCCTTGACGACCTCGTCACCACCGAACTGCACACGCTTGACGTACTCGTCGCGCTCCTGGCCCTGGAGCTCGTAGCCAGACTGGCTGAGGAGAGGGACGATGGTCTCGCCAGAGTGGCCACCAACGACAACGATGTTCTCGTTGGCTGGGTCAGAGCCCTTCAGCTGAGAGATGAAACGGGAAGCGCGGACGACGTCGAGGGTGGTGACACCGAAAAGCTTCTTTGGGTTGTAGACGCCCTTGCTCTTGAAGACCTCGGCGGTGATTGGAACGGTGCTGTTGACGGGGTTCGAGATGATGAGCATGTTGGCGTCTGGGGAGTGCTGGGCAGCGGCCTTTGCGAGGTCGCGGACGATCGAGGCGTTGGTGTTGAAGAGGTCTGCGTATGATCAGTTGCCCATTCATTATTCGCTTGGTTCCGAAATCATTTCCTACCATCACGGGTCATGCCTGGCTTGCGGGGAACACCAGCTGGGATGACAACGATCTCAGCGCCCTTCAAGCAAGCAGCGAGACCCTCAGGAGTGGGCTCGTAGCCGGTGACCTGGTCATTGTTCAGCCATTGTTACTCGTCTGCTTTCCATCGAACCATCTCACAGTGCTCTTGGTGTTGATGTGGCCGACATCAGCGGCGACACCTGGGCCGCCCTTGATGTCGTAAAGGGCAAGCTCAGTCAGTCGTGGGTTGAGCTTGAGCAGGAGGGAGAGAGGCTGGCCAATGCCACCTGCCGCGCCGAGGACAACGACCTTCGAGGCCTACACATGCATTTTCGTGTCAGCGCATTCGATGCTTCGAGTCCGAGGAGTCCCTGGTTCAACCCACGTTGCTGGCGGTTGCGGAGAAGGCACGGCGGTTCAATGCAGCGCCCAGAATGGACTGCGATGCCTTGCGTGCAGCGAACATCTTGGCTGTGGGTTTGGGGTGGAGAGAGGGTTGATGAAGAGAGAGGTGTGGAGGGGATGCAATGGAGAGGAAGAAGTGTTTTGGTGGTCGCATGGTTCGGAAAATGGGAGCTTCACAAGGTTACGCACGGACCGAGGTCGGAACCAGGGTCTGAAGACTTCACTTCACTTCACTTGACTTGTTCGCTTTGATTTCCATTTCTACCTTGTCTGCTCAATGAACACTTGCTTATTTCTCGAGAAGACAGTCCATCCTGAAGTCGCCTACGAACGGCTAGTCGTCAAACTCCATGAGCTGCCTCTCGACTTGAATCGCTTCTTGCTCCAATTTGATCTCCCGCAATCGCATCTCCAGCTCCCTCTTTCTCTTTGACTGGCCACTCGTGCTATCTGCAGCTTGCGGCGCACTAGAGTTCTCGTTGAACCGACGCGTAGCTCTGCCAGCGACAGGTACCGGCACTTCTGGCTGAGGCTCATTTTTGATCGCCACCATCCCGGTCTGCGGCAAAACCTCCTCATCGTCCTCATCTTCGCTGTCATAGATCTTCTTGCCCTTTTTAGCCTTCTTTTCTGGCTTCTGGCTCAGAGGTGGAGCTTTGCGCTTCTTCTTTGCTTTTTGCATCGCATTGGTTGGTGGTGAAGGGGGTATGACGCTCGACTTGGGATCGGCTTCTGGATAGGCGTTAGTTCTGACATGCGTAAATGCTGTACTGAAGCATCTGGCGGACTGACTTGTGTTTCCAAAGTGGAATTTGCAGAGACCTTTCCTCACAGGGCCCTGCCCCTGGAAGTAATCGATGCTGACTCTTGCGAAAGGCTTGCTTTTTTCTCCCGAAGCGGTAAGTGACTGTCCAGCATTGGAAGCACATTTGGTCTTCCGTAATGCCTCGAATCTGTCTTGTTTCTCCGCCTTACGGGATTTTTTCAAGTCCAATTGCCTGCGTATATGTCAATGCCTGTCCTTTCCGTTGCTGCCGCTTTACTCACGTCTTTGCTGGTGGGTCGGCCGGGCGAGATTTGTGGCCACGTAGCACATACACAGACACGCAACCTCGGAAGGAGGCAAGCTCATTAACATATGACGAGTAGCCAACGCTGCTCGGGCGAACACCTGGAGTCGTTAATCATCGGTCACCGGTATGGGCAGGAGTTGCTCACTAACGCTACCTGGCATTTGGTATGCGTATTCGAGGCACTCCGAGCCTTGATGCCCCCAAGTTGCAACGGTGGTGAAAGAATATTCTCCACTATGTGAACCACGCTTCTCTATGGCATGGGCTTGAGTCAAGCGAGACTTTCGGAGACTCTCGCTCTGGCCATCGTCGTATGCAATAGCTACGAACAATGAGTCTGCTTCCCGCCAGTCGAAATCGTCGTCTATAGTGAGGCTCACACTGAACTCAGTGCCGGGCTCTGCGCTGATTAGTCGGTGCCTGTAATTGCGCGGTTCTTCGCTGCTTGGCAGCTGCTCTTTGAACGGCACGCCACTCTCGTCTTTGATGCACACTGTGAGACCATGGTTCCGCACCATCGTGGCTGCTCGGTTGAGAGTGGTGTAGTGTAAGACAGCGCGTGACGAAGCGGAGTTGAAGTTTGTAGTCACGAGATTGGAACCCTCAAAGTGCGAAGCCACTAGTTGAGGATCCGCATGTGAAATTTGCGTTTGAGGCAAGTGCTAACCTCAACGCTCTTTCTCATTTCATTTACTTGACCACCCGCTTTAACGACGGAGAGATAGACGACAGCTTTCACGCAAATCCTCGAACGCTCGTGCTGAACTGGCAATACTGCTACTGCCAACAGGGCGTGGACATGACGCACTACTACCGACAACAGTCTTACTTTCGGAAGACTGCGTCTGACTCAGTATTGACCAAGAGAGTTGGCACATGTGGTTCGGTCCGAATTGGAGGCAGTCTATTATACGATCCTTCAGAGAGAGTACGTGATCCTAGACGAGTCGAGCAGTTTGTCATCGTGGCTATCGGTCTATAATATCAAAAAGTTCCACTCATGGGGCTATCATTACACCGACGGTGGCCCGACGTAAGACTGCAGGTAGATGCACAAGTAGAAGAACATGGACACCTTCACAAAACCGGGCAAATTCTATCAGACCCAGCTGTTCCATCTCTCAAGACTGCCTCAGCCCCTGAAACCCTGTCGAGACGTTGCTTGCACCACTTGCCACATTCCTACTAACTGCCGCCATCCTCCCCGGTCCCTCTTGGTTACATATCAAAGGAGGCACCCTCAACGGCTTCGAATGGGTGCTCCAGGCGGCTGGCGGTGCAAAAATCTTCACCAGCAACGGCACCCCTATGAACGAGTCCCTGTCCAATGCGAAGTAGTCCAAACATAGATATCCCTAGGTGACTGCTGTCCTCAATACAACGGCCTTCAAGGACACCTTAACGTCACGAAGGCGAGCTGGGAGTGTGGAATCACGGCGCGTGAAAAGGGCCTTCGAGTGCCAAGCCGCTATTCGAGGTCCTGCATGTGAAAGGAGTACCGTGAATCTCATATCTGACTCGATTGCTCGTTTTGGGCTCATGAAAGTACACTATGAGCCACTCTTACCAGCTCCAATTGATCAATTCGCTCCCACGCTCTTCCCTTTCTCGAGCATACTTGATCGATCCTGTCCACACCAAGAAGCCAGACAACTGCCACTGGACAAATCGCTGCACGCAGAACGCTCACACAACACCCAAAAGACTCATTTCAGACCAAAAACTCCACGCTTCAACTTCAATCGTCAAGGTTCATCAGTCGCCTCTTGATCTGAATAGCCTTCTTATCCAACTCGACCTCCTCCAAATCCAGCTCCAGCTCCCTCTTCTGCTTCGATTTGGCACTTGACTTGGTCTCCTTCGCCGGTGCATCTGTGTCTCCCGTAACAGTACCACTGTCGGAGCGAGACGCCGGGGCTGGAACCGAATGTTGCTCCTCGACCGTGTTGACTGGTGCTTCCTCTTGCGGAGGAGGCTTTGACTTGGTTGCACGGCGTGGATTCTGGACCACAATCTCGTCGTCGTCGTCGTCGTCGTCATCCTCGTCGCTGACGCTAACGACCGTAGGCCTCTTGTAACGCTGCCGGGCTGGGCGGTCGGCTCCGGTCACTTGTGTACTCTCGTGCTCATGCTCATCCCACGGGTATCCCTGCTTTTGCCACATGTTCGGCAGAGAGTAGTCTCTCTGCGGGATACCACGCAGGCCTTGCGATCTCCTCGCAGCTGCAGCATCCAGTGTATCACTCCTGTTGGTCCTAGGCGTGGCGGAGCCAGCGTTTTTGGTCTTGGGGTGGGATGGCGCGGGTGTCATGAGGTTGACAAACTCGGCAGGATCTAAGGGACATCAGTTTTGTGGACTCTGGTACCGATCCCAGTGGCTGCAGCATGACTTACTGATGTTGCGAAAATGGAATTCGCAGACATTACCGTCCTTTCGATCAAGTGGCTGAAAGCTCTCGAAATTAATCTTGAGCTTGGAATCCTTGATTTTGTCAATGTCCTTGAGATTGCTCTGGCTGGGCGGTTGTCAGTATCCCAAATGCCGCGAGTGGCCTTCGCATACATACAGAAAGCTAGACAAAGGGTCTGCGAGGCGTCGCTTCTTCGGATTCGGGGAGAGGTGGCCACGGTGGACGTAGACCGAAATGCAGGCACGGTGAGAAACCAAATCGTCTTTAGATCGGTGGCGGTACTTGTCCTGCTTGACGTTCCTCGTGGCTGCCGCTGTCAGTAATATACACATTCCTCGCGAACAAAGGACTCACCACCAGTAGCCGCAGCCGTCATGAAATACGCCGTCTACATCAACGTATCCGACTCATCGTTCTGGTAGCGTGTAGCACGTACGAATAAGTGCTCCCCTAGAAAGTCTTTCTTGGAGCTGATAGCCCAAACCATGGTGTAGTCCACCTCGCCCAGGTGCTCCTCCGCGCCATCGTCGTACGCAATTGCAACAAAGATGCAATCCGCATCTTTCCAGTCGAACCGCTTCTCTACGGTCACGCTTACCTCGAATTTAGTGCCTGGTGTCGCACTGATGGTTCTGTAACGGAAAGAGCGCGGCTCTTTTTCGTTTGGCTTAAGTTCGTCGATTTCGCGGCCATCTGCGCCCTTGATGCGGACGGTGATGCCGTTTCCGATAGCCATGTTATCGCAGGTCTTGTTGGCGTGGCTCGCAAGTTCGAGACGAATTTGAAGTTTGGTGCGTTTTGTTTTGACCCCAGCGGGCGCTAAGACATTAGCGCGACATGCATATGTCCAGTTACAAAAGAGGAAGGAGCAGCCAACGATACCGCATATGCGAACCAGGCATGTATCAAGTTCACAATTAATGGAAATTTAGACATTCATGTGGCTGAAGCCGACGTTATTGGACATCATTGTCGACCAGGCCTCGTGTATGGATCATGGAAGCCAGCAAGCTTTGCAGTTGCTGTGGCTACGCTAAGCCTATCATTGTGTTTTGCAAATGTCAGAGAGACAGCTCTGTCTCATACCATTCAATCTACTAGTTACTGTCTTTCTCAGAAGAGTATTCAGACCGGGAGTGAGATTCTCAATTTTAAAGATTTGATTTCTGCTATCAAAGGAGTATGTCGATAATGTCTCCTGGTCGATGTCTCGCTCAGAATTGTGAAATATCATGGTCGGTATTCATACCGTACTTTTCTGGTGGATCTCATTGTGAAGTCTCCCCCGTCGCTTTAGTGTCAATCTCAGAGTGTGTTTCATGGCAAAGCCACACTCATTTCATTCTCATGAACGTCGTTGTTGGGGATGTCTGCCATGGTCTGGCTCGACGCACGAAGCAGTTCGCCTCAATATCATCTGAAGCTGTGATCACGTAGCCTCTTGCTCCTGAGTGTAGTGTTGCTCCATTCTGCAACTGTGTTCAAGCTTCCTTCTTCACGGCCTTCGCCTTCCACTTCCTCATCGCCCTTAGCTTTCGCCTCAGCTCAATGTGCCGCATCTCGTCCTCAATGTCCTCCTCATCGTCCGTGTCGCTCTGGATGATTGTAACGCGCCTCTTACGGTTTCCTCGACCACTTCTCAAAATTTTCCTTCCGCCTGGGACTGAGCTTGGGTCTTGGGGATGTTGTTCGCCGGTCAGATCAACAGCGTTCGAGGCATTGGCTGGTAGATTTAGCTGAGCTTGCTCTGGCGCAGGAGAGTCGGAAGCATGCGCGAGGATGGCCTCCTGATTCCAAGGGTTTGCACGTCCCTCTTCTTTGACCTCCTGAGGTAAGACTTCCTCGTCATCTTCGTCTTCGCTTGGTACCCATTCTCCGTCTGGGCGAAGCCAGACCGAATCAGGTGATTCAGCGAAGAAGTAATCGATCGATCGCTTTCGTCTTCGAGACATGCGTCTGGTCGGCGAATTTTGTTCTTCTCCCTCTTCTTCGTCTTCTTCGTCTTCTTCTTCAACATCGCTTTCCTCGCTCTCTTCGCCTGCCTCGTTTTCCTCACTATCTTCACTCTCAGACACGCGCCGCTTCCTCGCCTGCCGCTCAGTCTTGGTGCTGTGAGTGATGCCCTGAGGGCTGGCTTCCGTTGAGGCTAGAAAGTTGCGCCGCCCGACTACTGTTGCCATTTGCTTGCCTTGGAATTCTTGTAGCTGTTCTGCCGCTATGGGAGGTCAGTCGTCAAGATCTCACAAGATTGTTACAATTTACGCTCACTCAAGTTTCGAAACTCAAAGATATGCGGGTGCCAAATGTCAGGGACAAAGCATTGTTGATTGATGACCGTTGGTCCGGACATTCTTCTAGTAAAGGGTCAACATCATGTCTTATAGCAGCTTTTTCTGACTTGCCTTGGTTTGAACGGTGGCTCTGTCAAAGATCTTCGGGAAGGTGTGTGATCACGCAACATGCTACCACGCAAAACAAGCACGGTGACACAGCCTGGGCTCGCAGTGTTCTCGTCCACCCAGGAATCATCTGTCGCAGTCGCTCTCAACTTATCGTAGTCTATGTTGTTAGTTGTTTTGTATCAGGAAATGACCGCAGATCTGCACATACTTGCGGGATCCGGCACCACCATGGCTATTTCCTGTGGTGCAGACAGATCATCCTCCCAAGTAATAAAGCTCAGGAATTCGCACCCGGAGTCTGCAGAGCCAGAAGGTATATACCATGCTTGATAGTTCTGCCGTTGCTCAACGGGGCCGGCAGAAGGCCCACAATTGATGATGACCATTATATTTTGATTCTTGAAAAGCTCCTTCGGAAACTTGATCCCAACTTCGAAGGCATGTCCAGGTGGCGTCGAGATGAATCTTCCACACGCGTCACGGAAGTGTTTAGACGCGGAAGGGGTGGGATATTCGGTAATGTACTCATTGGAACCCTTCAGTCGCAGGCTGGCGTGTACGCCCTCTTGGTGCTTCATCGTCTGCTCTGCAATGATGTGGGATTTGGTGTGGTACGACTTGTGTACGACTTGGTGGTGGAATCTTGTTGTTGTCGATGTTGAAACAAGTTCGAAAGCGGCAGAAGAGTTGAGCCTTTTTAATAGTCAATGCCAAGTCTCCATCACTCAAAACATGTGAAGAGACATCGTCGACCGAGGAAGGCGCTGCCTGACAGATTTGCTTCTGACATCCGTGACAAAAGTCAAGTGAAAGAGGTTGAAAGTGAAGAAATAGACCTACCATCACCAGCCAAACCGACCCTCATTCATCCTTCCCCTCAGCCACAATATACCACCTCCCTGCTCGACTCACAATTAGATCTCCAGCTTGACGCCCTTTCCCTCCCGCTGTTTGAGAGCTCGAATCTTCCGTCGCAGCCCGACTTCGAGTAACTGGTCTTCGAGATCTTCGAGGTCCTCGCTCACATCAATCACCGTCTTCTGCCTCTTTGTGGGACCGCTCTCGTCTGAGACGCTCTCCCGCTTCACGGCTACGATGTCGGTATCGTCATCCTCTGTGAGGTCGATGACTTGTGAACTGTGATTGTTCTTGATCTGTTCGCCGGCATTCCGGCCTTGTGGTCGTCGGGTTGCCGCAATGGAGGTCAGTGGTGTTGGGGAACCGGCCGTGCTCGTATTGCGAAGTGTTCCGTGGCCTTGGGAGACTCTTGCAGATCTTGATATGGATGCTGGAGGGGTGGGCCGGATGCCGATGTTGACAGCGCACTGCTCAAGGATATCTTCGTTGGGGAATGGCGGTTCGGCTGGCGTTTGAGACACCCTCGTCGACCTGATCATGGCAGCCTTGTGGTTCGAACTCCCATTCGATCTTTCATTGCCGACTGGACTCTTCGCCGATGAGCTGGACGCAACCGAAGGGTCGGGAGCTGGGTTGAGGACACTCCGCGCGGATTTGTCATCTCCTTGCCTGGATTCAACAGCAGGCGATGGCAGTTCTTCGAAATCGCTGCCAGGCGGATCCGTGGTCTCATTCCGAGTCTGTGTGTACTCCGGAGTTGACATATCATCGCTTGTCTCCTGGTCATCATGGCTATGCTGTTCCAACGCAAGCTGCTCCTCTCTGATACGCTTCTTCCTCTCCTCAAGAATCTCTCGATCGCTCGGTGGATCAGGGAATAACTTCAGGCTTTCTTGAAGCTGCCGCCATGGGTCGGCAGTCTTGTGTAAAGGGGCCGACTTCTTGTGGCTGTGGCGAGGGAGGTCGGGAGCCTTCACCCTTCGTGCCTTCGCAACCGATGAAAAGGTCTTGGAAGAGGTCAGCTAGGCCTTCTCTGAGAAAATCGTTCATGATTCGGATTTCTTACCCTCCACATCCTGAACTCCCAAAGACATGGGTCGCCATTGTCACCACGCATACGCTTGAACCAAGCCGGGTCAATGATCTTTATCTGATCCTTTGCGTCGTTCCTACAGCTCCGTGTTAGCTCTGGAAGATCAGAAAGAAGCTGCGTATGTCGTTTGCGAACTTGCCGTGAGCTCTCGGGAGGACAGGTTGGAGCTCGAGGTTGAGAGCTTTGGTCGTCTTCTGACGTTTGGACTAAATGACCTCGCTTGATGGCGACGATGATGCTGCCTTTGTTGGGTGTTTCATCGAGCTGCCATTCGAGTGGCTCTCGGCCGAACGTGACGTCCTGATCATCTAGATTCGCTGCCCATTCAGTCAGTCTCTTGTTCTCCTGTCGACACAAATTCAACTCCACTGACCATTGATTGGAACTGGAGCCTTCATCGGTATCACCTCATCCACGCTGCCATCTCTATTGAATCTTGTGACTTCACCGAAGTCGTACCCCTTCTCCTTGTTCCAATTGCCAAGGCACTTCCTGGGAACCCACCACGTCTGACTGTGATCAGATGTCTCCAGCTTGGTGGACCTAGCTATGCTGATGGTGATACTGACGCCACTTGCGGAGCAAGGCGAGAAGCCACGACGAAATTGAAAGCCGACAAGGAGGGCAATACGTTCTCCTGCAGGCACGCAGAAGGAGGAGGAGAGGATGTCGCCAGTGAATTCGTCGTGTACCTCCGCGTTGTTGTTGTCGTCGCGAGTGTCTGCTGGCTCTTCATCCTTGTCGAGGTGGATGATTTCGACGGAAATGCCGTGATGAGGAGGCATGGCGAGTCTTGAGCGGCCAGTGGTCAATTCTGCTCTTGGACGTTGGAGGCAAGGTTGATGTAGAGTGGTGAAGAAGCCGTGGCCATTGAGCCGCTTTCAACGAGAACTCGAGTGAGTACAGAATGCAATCACAAGCACGTGCATATCGAGGAGTGAAAGCAGACTTGAGTGGACATATCACTTTGAACTGGAGACCTATTAGCTACATCCATAGCCAAAGGAGATCAATTACCCACCGAAGGAAATTGGAGTAGGTTAGTAAAGATTCACAGAACGTAATTGAGAAGGCATTCATGCCTATACCAGTGAATGGGGACATCTTCACATCCCTGTCCTTTGTCAATCATCGTCGTCTGATCGTGCCGACGATTGACCCATGCTCCCCACGCCATCTCACTAATCCCGCTAAGCTGTCTCAGCATCACCACCCAGACCACTGATCTTCTGCCGAATCCGCACCTGCTTCAGCCTCTCTTGATGGATCTTCTCTTGCTCCTCACTCTCCTGCAACTGCAATTGCAGCTCCTCGCGCGTCTCCGGCTTCTTGTAACCAAAAGTACGCCTCTCGACCATTTCCTTCTTAATCTTGGCTGGCTCGTCTTCGTCGTCCATTGTCAGATCGACGACCTCCATCGCCTCCTTCTTGATATGGAAGGTGCCTTGCTCGATCGGATTCTCCTCTTTGACCTCTTCTTCGTCCTGGGTGTCGTTGCTGGTAGTGCTGCCTTCCCCAAAGACTTGAGTAAGATTGGCCAAGTCTGACGCTCTACTTCTCTTCGGCTTGCTAGCAGTATCTTGAGGCGGAGATGTGCGCTTGCGCCCTTGCCCGCTTGCTGTGATTTGGACCGGGAGTCTGACGATAGCTCTTGGCGTCTCGTCTCCGCGTATCGTCCCCTCGTCGCTGTCAGAGACCGCATCGTTCGCATCCGAGTCCACCTGCGCTGCTGTACGCAAATTCTTGTAGGAATTCTCGATGGCAATCGCCAGCGCCTCTTGCTCGTTCGGATTTGCAATGTCAATGGAGGGCCCGTCACGCGATGGTCCCGCTTCGACAGCCGCACCGATGTTGGCATCTGAGTCGACCGTGTTCCGGAGCTCGAAGACAACGGGAGGAGGGGCCTTCTCACCAGCCATCGGCTTGAACCAATGCCAGCTGATGACCTTGGGCATGTCGGTGGCTTCCCATCGGTGAGTAGGTGGAGGATCTGTGCAGCGCACCGGGTACAGTTGCACCTCATCGGTAAGATCGCCACGAACGACAGAGACGGCGATGCAGCCCTTGTTCGCGAGATTCACGTCCTGCCACAGGACGTTCTTGCTGCCCTCGACCGGGTTGTCTTGCGAAATCCCGCGCGTTAGCAAGCAGGTGTGGAGGGGAAAGGGTAGTATCTCACCGTCTGGCACCGGGAAAGTGAATCGGGTCGCCTCAGCCTTGCCGTTTTCGCTCTCCCATGTCGAAAAGAAATGGAAGGCGTGCGCCCTTCCGAGGTTGTCCGCGTCAATCCACCACGACTGCGAGTTGCTCAAGTCGGATGGATCCAGGTCGGTGTGGCCGATGGCAATTGTGACGCGGACGCCAGAAGCTCCACGAAGGTTGAACTGTTCCTCGAAACTGAGATTGACCTTGACCTCGTCACCAGGGGTGGCGTGAATCGCACGACTGCGAGAGTTGCCGTCGCTATCGGTGGCGATGACTTGGTGAGGGTTCTCGTGACACGCTACGATATTGCGACGCAGATCTTCGAGCCACATTCGCACGCCATCAGCCCGCTGCAAGTCAGTGTCGTTGATGAACATTGCAATTTCGTGAGAGGTGCTTGCTTATTGTTTGGTTCTGCTTTCAGTTAGGATTCGTGTTGGACTTCGTGTAAGAGTTGGTGCGGATGGGGTAGTAGAAGTTGTGAAATGGGAAACCTGGAGATGAGGGAGTGCACCGTGTGCTCTGCCAAAGTCAGAGGATGAGGAGCACGTGCTGAACAACGAAGCCAGTGAAGTGAGTGTGAAATGACATGTGAAATTGTTTCGCAGGCTCCAATCGATGCTTGCTGGTATCTCATCTGCTTGAACAGTAATGTACATGCATCGCTTTCGTCTATTCACATTTACTGCCCGAAAATGGAATGTGCCTATTCAGGTGTAAGCGGAGCTGTCGTCGAAAGGACTTAATAAAAACTTACGTAGATCTGCCTCTTCCGCAGATGAACTGGGGTCTCATTTTCTGGAGTACCTGGGATCGTCTTCTCCAATTTTCTGGGGGAATCGTCAGCATCAGTGCCCTCTAACGTGAAGCACAGTATCCCACTCACAAGTTGTCAAAAACACACTTGTTCAGCCCCCTCTCCAACTTCCGGCATTGCCACAGCTGCTGGTTGTTGTTGTCTAAGCACTGCCAATGCTTCCTGAACTCCTCCAAACAGCTCTTGTTGATATCGTCGATCACACTGGCAGCGCATCGCGTGACTTTCCTACCCTCCTTCAAACACTCTGTCTCGCCCTTGCCATTCGCCAGATCCTTGCAGTGCATGTAATCATCATTGTAGGCTTTGCATCGCGCGCCGATGAAGAAGGAGGCCGAGAGTAGAGGGGCAGAAGAGGCGCCTACCTCTGGGACTTTGGGGATGCTGTCCGGGAGGGGAGTGGTGTCGATGAGGACCTGTTGGTTGAAGCTGGCCAGCGGTTAGCCAAACATTCATGGAGCAGTGAATGGAATCCATACCGAGGCTGCCTGGCCGACATGGTGGGCTGCTGTGGGAGAGTGTGTGTCGGCAGTCAGTCAACCCATCCCAATGCGACGTCGAGCTTCAGAGAGAGGTCGGCGGAGGCGTAAGGAAATCGGGAGTAGCCGATTGGCAGGAACGGCAGGCGCGTCCAAGCTCTTGCAAGACCGCGCTTCACCTGGAATCTGCTATTGTTGACCATTCACTCACTCACTCACTTCAATCCACTCTTTGTTGTCGCCGACGCTGCGACTGAGCGCCATCGCACTCTTCTTGTCGCCTTTGGCCCACTCATCTTCGCTGCGACCGGTTGGAGTAACAAAGCAAAGGTACCTTCAAAATGTCGATCTTCGGCAACACGCAGCAGAACAAGCAGACTGGCGGCGGCGGGCTGTTTGGAGCGAGCGCAACACAGAACACGGGAGGGTCTAGTCTTTTCGGCTCGAACAATGCAAACACAAATACCGGTGGTAGTGGGTTATTCGGAGCGAGCTCGAATCAACCGAGCGCAGGTGGAGGATTGTTTGGATCGAGTACAGCACAGCAGCCCAGCACTGGAGGTAGCCTTTTCGGGGCGAACAATACTACACAACAGAACACAGCTGGCGGAGGACTTTTCCCCTCGTCCAACGCCGCCCAACAAACCAACACCACTCAACAAACCAACACCAGCTCAGGTCTCTTCGGGTCCAATAACGCTGCGGCGGGCACTGGTGGTCCCCTTTTCGGCGGGCAGTCAAACGGTGCCAGACTCGGTCAAACAGGAGGGGGTTCTTCGTCTTTGCTAGGGGGGAATACCCAGCAACAGCCATCTCTCTTCGGCGCCTCCGCCACGCAGTCCCAGCAACCGCAGCAACAGCCGCAATCGACTTCAGTATACCAGCCTGGGACCGTCTCGGTTGGCAATATGGGACACACCATGACACAAGCACAACTGCAGCGTCTGCAATTCTCCGGCGTCTCCACTCAGCCGAACGAGAAATCTATAGCTGAGCAAATCCGCACGATCATGGGCAAATGGGACCCCGAAAGCGACACAACCATCCTCAAGACCTACCTCTACAATGCCGTTCCGAAAGAGTACGCCCCCTTCTTCTACCCGAACGCTGCAGCAGGTGAAGACGAGAAGAGCTGGGAAGAGGCGTTGAGCCAAAAGCCAGAGCCTCCCAAGGTCGATGGCAAGGAGGTGGACAGTACGACGTACGTGCCAATCCTGGTGAAAGGCTTCAAGGCACTCGGTGAGCGCGCAGAGACCCAAGCAACCGTTGTGCAGCAGATGCGCGCTCGTCTGCACGAGATGAACAACTCGCTCACATCTATCATGGCTGCACACGAGCAGAGAATCACTGCAAACATCGCCAGGGCCAAGAGGCAACATCAAGTTCTTCAGCAGAAGTGTCTCAGGCTGTCTGTCAAGGTCCAAGTCCTGCGCAACCGAGGCTATGCGCTCGATGCAGCAGAGGAAGGCCTGCGAAAGACGTTGATGGGCCTGGAGAAGCAGGTGATGGACCCGGGCTTCCTGGGTCGGGAGGATGAGATTTGGGCGAGGATGATTGCTTTAAAAGAGAAGGCGAGGTGGCTGGAGGAAGAAGGAAAGTGGGTGAATGCACAGGTCCAGCAGCAACAACAGCAGAGGAACGATGACGGCACGTCGAGCGCTGTACCGGAGGATGTGTTGGCTAAGACGAGGAAGATCCTCAAGGATTACGATGGCCAGTTGCAGCATCTCAACAAGGAGCTGGAGGACGTGAGGAAAGAGTTTGCCGAGTGGGAGCGCAGCAGAAGATGATGAGTACTCGAAGAAGTGGTGCGCAAAGGTGGTGTTACGGCAACAGGGATTCGTTCACACTTGGGTTCATCTGCGTTTTAAGCGAAGGCGTTTTGTGACAAGTGCGACAGGACCGAATCGCCTGTTATGAGGGCGAATGTGGTATCAAAAGACAATGCTTGTACTTGTATGTCCGCCTCGTTTCCGTTTGTTGCAATGTTTCCGCCTCTCTCCCTGTACTGCCTGAGATGAGAGACTTCTCCCCAACGCCGCGCTATGCGTTCCCCATACCCTGTGCTGTACAATATGATACATCTTCCATCTTGTCCACGTCTATACGAGCTTCTTGACGGCATCCACGGCGAAAGGAGCTGTCGCAGAAATGTTAGCGACATATCTACGACCAATGCCGATGTAGTCTTCTTACAGAAATACAGCAAAATGCACATGCTGACCATGCCGTAGAGTGTTTGCGCCGCTGCTTGCTCCTGCTTCCTGAGCTCTTCGGGAGATGGTGGAGGGGGTGCTGTGGGCTGTCAGTGATGCCTCGCCCAGATGCAGATATGCGTAGACTCACGACCGCCGAACATCTTGTCTGGCCTTTGTGATGTGTATGTAGAGTTGGATTGGCACGTGTTAATGACGGATGCGACTTGTGAAGTGCCCGATGAAGTGAATCTTTAAAGCTCGGGCCATGTGCCATGCCAAGCGCTTGACGTCGCGGAGAGTCGCGACCTTCAAAGGAGCGCTGCTTTCAGCGACATCAACTTTACACGCAACATCCACCACACCCACGACAATCACTCCTCGTCTCCTCGACAACCACTCCGAGGTACACCTGACGTCGTCGCGAACATGGAGGATCTCGAGCAGCCAGTCGGCTCGCCGTCGCTCGATGCCGGTCCAGAGCCACAGGGCAACGACGACCCTGGAGACACGCTGCGCCCCGAGATCGAGGAGGAAGATGGCAATGGAGCGACGCCACCAATTGCAGACCCGACGGCTGATATGGATACGCGTGAAGACGATGAGCATCCGCTGACGGCCGACAAGAATCGAGCAAACGGTTCTGGCGAAGGCGAGGACGAGGGCGACAACGAGAACCCTGACAATACCGGCGCGGCAGTGGACGATGATGATGATCTGGAGTCAGAGTTGGAGGAGTTGGATGAGAAAGAGTTCGAGGACTTCGACCCTTCTGCCTTGAACCTTCCCGATCAACCACTCGCTGTCGACGAGAGCAACGTCGCCCTCTTGGGTGTGCACAAGCGCAAGCGAACTGCGGAGGAAGAGGCCGAGCGTGAGAGGAAGAAGAAGAGGAAAGAGAAGAAGCGAGACAAGCCGAAGCGAAGCAGGAAAGGCGGCGACGAGGATGACTTCGAAGGTGGAGAGGAAATGTCGGGAAAGAGGAGTCGCAAGGGCAAAGGTGCAGATGGCAGACCTGTCAAGTCCAAGAGCAGGGCGCGGACACCGGATGAGGTCGACGAGGAGCACCTGGCCCCGGAAGAGCGTGAGTCCAGTCTCGTTCCAACGCTGTATGTAATGACGCTAACTGACTGTTTGCAGGCCGCAGACGTGCGCTCGACCGGAAAATTGACGAGGCACTCAAGACCAACCGTGTCTCGAGACGGAAAGCTGCCCAAGTTGCTGAAGAGCGTGCAGACGAGGACATCGAGAACATGCGTCGCCGCATCATCCAGGCCTGTCAAGCCGACCAACAGGCACGCGCAGCTGAGAAGATCGCTACCCACAAGCTGGCCATACTTCCAGATGTCGTCGAGCTCATGAACCGCAACACCATTCAGTCCCAACTCGTTGATCCAGAAGTCAACATTCTCGAAGCAATCCGGTTCATGCTCGAGCCCGCCGACCATGACGCGGCCCTTCCCAACTACCAGATTCAGCGTGAGCTTTTCGCCATTCTTGGTCGACTCAGCATGTCAAAAGAGGCCTTGATATCATCAGGCATCGGCAAAGTCGTCCTCTTCTACAGCAAGTCCATCCAACCACAACCCGAAATCAAGCGCCAAGCAGAACGCCTTACCGCAGAATGGATGCGCATTGTCCTGAACAAAGGCAAGGACCGTCGTAACCTACCCGTCGAGACCAAGATGTACGATCCACTCGCTGCACAGTCGTCGCAGCGTCCAGGTGCCTCGCAGTCGCAACAGGCGATCGCGGCAGAGAAGAGACGCAAGGCGCTGGCTGCACCTGGCCCCACGAACCGTGCACGAGTCGAAGGTGGCGTTGGAACATACTCCATCGCACCGATCAGCAATCTGAGCAATGCTCAAGGCGTTAGCGGTCGTAGACTGGGCGCTAGCGGAGATGACATGTTCAGAAAGATCACGGCTCGAAGCGCGATGAAAAGTGGCACGGGCGGTCGGCGGTAAGCAGTCCGCAGAAAGGACCCTACGCTTCAGCCTTGTCGTTCTCCATGCGGAAGAGAATCCTGGGGAGTTTAGGGGCTAGGGTTTTGGTTTAGGATTGCGGTCCAGCACAGCGGGTGTCAGCAGGTCCAGAAACTAGGCCTGCTTTTGTATCACTACTATAGGTGTATCAATGAGAATTTGGAATTCGACCACGGTGAGACCATACGCGGGCCCGGCGTCAAAACTCTCGTCATTTTCGAAGTGCCCCTCTGATTGGTAAGTCCGCAATACCCTACTCGACATCTTACCCTTTGGGGAAGCTCCCTGGATCTCGTAAGCCTTGTACAAATACCAACTACCCAAGTAGTGTTATTTTCCCGTTGCACTCTAAACCAAAGTAGGCACTTTCGCGCTCCAGCCGTCTTGATAGGATCACTACGCTCACCTAGCCAAGATGGGTCATCTGGAACGAGAAGTGCGAAGGCTTACGTGCGAGCATTACTTAGATTGCCACTGCCACAAATACTGATTGATTCCACCGTATGGCGATGGAGGCTGGTAGGTGATTATTGCGAGGGTTTATGCGATGGGTATATACTATATCATCCTGTACTCTTCACGCCTTTTGATGAAGTGATATTTCTTCTTCGTGAGTAGCCAACCATGCCACCCCCAACCATAACATCCGTCCACCTCATCGGCTCGATCCCCCTCGCAAACACCTCGGAAGTCCTGCGAACCGTCTCCTCGACCCTCCCGAACCGACTCAGAAGAATCCCTGACGGAGAGACGGGCGAACGGCATTACTTCACGCGCTGGCAGGCGCCGAAGATCGGACAATGGCCCGTCCTGGTGAATTCGCTCTGTCGGGGCCTGATGGGTTTGGAGACTGAGCTGCCGTCTTTTACCGAGGATGAGAAAGGGAGGGTGTTGGGGGAGATGGAGGAGAAGTTGGAGACGGGGTATGACGATGTTGCGTTGGAGAGTTGGGAGGTTTTCAAGCAGCTCAAGGCCGAAGGGGTGATTGGGAGGGATGTGAGGTTTCTCGTGGCGTTGCCTACGCCGCTGACGGTCACGGCGCTGCATTGTCGACGGGAGTTTCAGGTGGGGTTTGAGAGGGTTTATGAGGGGGCGCTGTTAAGGGCGTTGAGGAGGGTGATGGATGTTGTTCCCGCGGGGGAGTTGGCGGTTCAGTGGGATTGTCCTTTCGAGATGGGGATTATTGAGGGGGTAGAGTCTAAGGGGAGGGATGTGGGGAAGTGGTGGGAGGAGGGGACGGTGGATGGGGTGGTGGAGAGGTTGAAGGGATTGTGCGAGGCTGTTGAGGAGGGAGTGGAGGTTGGTGTGCATTTGTGTTATGGTGAGTCCTCGTTGTTCGGAGCGGGGTTTGATTGGAACTGATTTTGTTTTGAGGCGATATGCAAGGTAAGCATTTCGTCGAGCCTAAGGATACCGGTGCCATGGTCGACGTCGCGACAAGGTTTTTGGAGCACTGCAGAGGGTCCATCGATTACATCCATTTGCCAGTGCCAAGAGATCGGAAAGACGACCGGTACTTCGAGCCGCTGAAAGGCCTCTTGCCATATGTCCAGGACGGCCATGAGCTTTGCTTGGGCCTGGTGCATCTAGAAGACCTCGAGGGGACCAAGGAGCGGATCCAGGCTGCTGGTAAAGTTGTGCCTGCCTTCAGTATTTCCAGCGAGTGTGGGCTCGGTCGCAAGTCTAGGGAGCAGGGTCTGAATATACTCGAGATAGCATCGCTCGTGTCAGGGAACGACTCGAAAGGCTGAAGCGAGCCTGCTACTATCCTTCTTTCTGCATTCACGTCCCGGTCCGCTTGGCAATGGCCCACCAATTGTCTTTCTCGTAGCCAGCCTCCACAACTTGACCTCCAGCCGTCTCAACGTCATGCTCGAGCTCGCCTTTTCGATAGAGATGATAGTAGCGATGGAACGTCTTGTCCGTGGACGCTGCCTCAGATCCGCTTTCGTCCTTGGTCTTCTTCGAGCCTTTCATAACCCATGGCACCATAACATCTTGATCGTCCTTCTCGCTCCAGCCACGGCGACTGCTTTCTTGCTCCAGCGCCCAGACATACACAAGTGCTTGACCTCCAGGTTTGAGAGTCTGCAAGATCGACCTGAGAGCTTCAACGCGCCTCTCAGGTGTAGAAAGATGGTGTACCACAGCGATTGAAATGGCAAAGTCAAAGAAATGCAACTGATGTGGCAGATCCAAGATGTCCGCAACTACAACTGCATGTGGCTGATGTTGCGAGGCGATCTTTACGAGATTGTGAGATCTGTACTTACCTTGTCAGTCCATATACACTACTCACCAACGTTGCTGGACACACCGGTCGGATCCTACGATGAAGATGTCGGGATTGACAGCGAGGTATTTGCCGTTACCGCAGCCTATGTCGAGGCCAACAGATCCGGCAGGCAGGTTCTTGAGGAAGCGCTCGATGATGGGCCATGGCTACTTTTCGTCAGCCTCAAGTCTGTGGAATTTCTCGTCAACTTCCACACCTTGTAGCGTGTAGACGAAAAGTGAGATGCAATCTGGTCGTACACACTATGCACGTGCTCTTCTTCGTAGCCTTCGCCTCGGTTAAGGTCTTCGCCTTCTCCGTGCATTGTCTTCTGATCAGGCTCTTTGTCGATGGGCGAGTCTCGACTGGCGGAGTCGCCTGCGGTCTCGAACAGCTACGTCTGTGAGAAGATCTGCAATGGCGGCTTTGTCTGTGATCCCAGTGATGGACTGCCGGATTTCGCAGAAGGATGGGATGTCGAGAGAGGTCATCGAAGACGGCAGGTTGAAATTGGCGGCGGGAAGTCCCGCTCGAAGGACCCACTTTGGTTCGACTTCACCTTTACTTCCTCGCTCCTTTTGTTCTTCACATCCCTCCACTTACTCTTTATCTACCCTTGATATCAGCTTCTCGGCAACAGCACTAGATCCGGAGGCCCTCTATGCGATCTCTGCACGCTCGAAGCACTTGCCTCTCCCTCTTTGTGACCTCACTAACTTCCGTCCTGCTTTGTCTCTCACGTCCGAAATGTCTCTATACCCATTAAGACAAAGACACTTACCACCTGCTTTGAATCTAGGCAGTCTAGGTGAGATTGTAGCAAATGAAAAAGACAGTCGCGCAGATGCCCTCCTCGTTTCCCGACATTGTTACGCTTAGGTGAGGTTCGACGCGCTATTGTTCGAGACTATCAATATCACAACTCAATAGGAACTGCGCTGCTATTGAGCAAACTTTCACCTCAAAATCTGCCACCTCCCACTTCTTCGGACATACTCTTCGCGCAGATGTCGAAGCTTTTATCCTACTTGTTTGATCTTGCTTTCGTTCAACCATTCGAGCTGGTCTCATACTTCACACCACGCCGTCTTCAAGCAAGCTCACTTAACACGACTATGGCGGTTAGCACGAGGTCCCAAGGCGGCAAGCTCTATATACCTGCGCCGGATAGAAAGAGGACGAGAAGACGAACGTGCCCTGCGCCCGCACCAACACCCGCACCAGCGCTTCTACAAGCGGCGCCTCCAGCAGCGCCCCCAGCGCAATCTCCAGCGCGGTCACCGAAACCACGAAAGAACTATGTGGACAAGGGAGTCACAGCGGACCTGTCGCCTAGAAAAGCCAAGAGTCCCAAGACGAAAACACCTCCACCTCCTGGAGGCATTTCCAAGAATTATGCGGACAAGGGAGTCACAGCGGATCTATCGCCTAGAAAAACCAAGAATCCCAAGGCGGAGACACCTCCACCTGCTGGAGGTATCTCCAAAATTGGAGCCGGTTCCAAGCAAAAGACTCCCCCACCAAGCCCTGTGGACCCATTGTTGGTGAAGAGAAGGGGACGACTTGTCAACAACAACTTACAGGTGATCCCGGCGCATGTTCTAGATGGCCGGCCTGTGAAACGCTTTCCACAAGTTCAATTTCCTGTCACCAAAGGGCTGTGGAACAAGGGAGAGCTGTGCTATCGCAACGCAACTTTGCAAGCCTTGTTCCACACTCCGGCGTTCTATCGGTACCTTGGCAAGATGCACAAAGACTGCCGCGATGGACCCACTACCAAGTGTGTCGTGTGTACGCTACAATGGCTTGCCCAGGCCTACTACAACGACCAAGTCTCTATTCGTCCCTACGGTAACTCGACCACGAGAGTCGCTGGTCCTCTTGATCCACTTAGACTTTTCAACCAGACTTGCAAAAGGAACCCTCCTACAGATGAAGTCACCCTCGGGGACATGATCGAGGAATTCGCCGCGGAAAGCCAAAGCGACGCCTGGAACTTCATACAGTATCTCATGGGATTGATCCGCGACAAAGAGCTTCCGACCGACGATGCGACCTTCTCGCACATGTTCGACATGCCGTCAGAGCAGAGCTGGACCTGCCAGCAATGTGGCGAGACATTTACCCGCGAGGTGAGAGAAGAAGAGGCTTTGGAGGGAGGCAGTGTCGGGATCAGCGTGTCTGTCCAGCACGACGACGAGTCGACTACGCTTGCCGAATTCCTGGGCCATCATTTCAACACTGGCTTCTACAGGCGGTGCCAAGGCGATCAGTGCAAACATTTGGACACGGAAGATTGGGACGGGCCACTGCGCAAAGTGACAAGGAGAATCACGCAGACGCCCGAGGTCCTTCTGATCCAACTCCAGATGTTCATCCATAACAAGCTCGGCACAGTCCCCATCAAGTTGGACGAGGACGTCGAATTTGACGAATACCTAAACTTAGGTCCGTTCACCAAGGATGGAGAAGATGTCCTGTATCGATTGGACGGTGTGGTCGCTCACCGTGGCACGGAGGTCATTTACGGCCATTATATCTCTGCTGTGAGGCAGACAGATAGTGTGAAAATTGTTGCGGCAGACGATGATACTTTTGTTGGAGAAACAAACTCGGGACGCGACACTTTTCGAGAGATGCTGTTTCCAAACTCTCACGACAATTTTGCGAATCCGTACGTCCTTATCTACAGCAAGGTCTAGAAAGCAGGACGCAGGTTGTCGTTGTGTATCAATTAAGCTTGGTTGTCAAAGACGTTCACTACAATTCTTGTTCCTTTCCCGCCTATGGCGCCACGAGTCTACGTAGATGCTATCAATGTAAGCTCAACGTGGATCTACGCTTGACAAAACATTTCGATCAGGGCAGATTATCATGTACAGCTTTGCCTGAAGTCTAAAGTCCTACCGCAAACTCATCCCCCCATCCTGCTCATACACCAACCGCACATTCATCCTCCTAGCAGCATCCTCCATCCCCTTCAGATTCTGCCGAGACCCCTCCCAGCCCTTCTCACTCTTCAAATCCACCCTCGGCCCATGGAAAATCAACGGCAAAGGCGAAGACTTCCACGCCCTAACATCGTGCGCCAACCGTCTCTGACTTAGCATCACAGCGACGAAGAAAACCAACGTAAACAGCACGAGCGCAACCGGCATCGTCAACCACGCCCACTCCACCCGCAGACGCGTCTTTTCCTAATAGACTTCGCCGACAGCCGCCGCGCCCTGACTGAACAAATCCGGTCCCTCGAACCCGGGTGTCGTGCGCATGTGATTCGTCATCGACTCGGAGATGTTGCGGAACATGGACTGCGTCCGCTCGAAGCTGAACTGGCCGTAGTTGTACAGCGACTGCAGCATCTGCGGTCCTTCGAAGAGGGCGACGCCGTGGGATGCCATGTTCCAGACACCTGTCAGGTTGCCGGCCCAGGCGTAGTCGAAGTAGTCGTAGGTCAGGCTTTCGACGAAGGCGACTTCGGTCGAGAAGAGACAGCCTCGTTGCTTCAGGGTGGTTTCGAAGTTTAGGATTTCGGTGGAGTTGTTTGTGGCTGATTGGGGCTGGTTGGAGATGGGACTGAAGGTTATGTTGTACGGGATCCAGTCGGTCGTGGAGTTGATGGTGTAGCCTCTCTTCTGCAGTGAGTCCCTCTCGGTGTCTGTCAAGCACGATGCGTTGAGTGTGGAGAAGTATTGGACGCTTTCGTCATTGCCGAAGATGAAGGGTAGTTGAGGCGTCTCTTTGAGTAGGTCTTCGCGAAGAGCTGCATTACGCACCGAGGCGTTGTATGTCCGTATGCAGGGATAGAGCGTGCAATTGGCGGCCCCAGTTCCTATACAGCGCCAGGTACCGTTCGTGGCAGCATCATTGCATCCTGTTGGAGGCTGCTCGGTGACGGGGTCGATGGGATGAGCGGCAGATTGCCCAGCAGAGCCATTGGTGGGCAACCCGACGAGATACTGGAACGTGTTATCCGACAGGATACTCATGGTCGAGAAATTGCTTTGCGGTCCCCGCACATACGACACAGATGCTCCATCCGGAATGTAAGATATAATTCCCAGGAAGCTCATGTTATTTATATCAGTGTAGTTGAGCCATTCGATCTGGATGGCGTCGGAGATATCTTGACAGGCGCTGCAGTAGCCGATCGTGCTGAAGGGTGGGTATGTGCAGTTGCCAGAGGTACACTGCACATCAACATGACCGCCTGGAGCCGACATGCCAGCGTTGATGGAAGCCTGCTCGTCCGAGGTGATACTGATCAGCCCAGCACCAGCGTGTGGGCCACCCCCAGCGAAGAAGTTGGTGCGTGGGATCGTTGCCATTCCGCTCTCCTCCAGCACATTGCAGTCACTGTAGTGGAGGACTTGCTGGGTGAACGGGTCCACGAACAGCGCCAGGAGGATGAGAATGCACCCAAGCCAGTGCCAGACATGCTTTAGTGACGTTCTTGTCAAAAGCTTGACCGCGCCCCATGGACCCCTTGTTGCTTCATCGTGGACAGCAAAGTCGTACAACGGTTTCTCTGCCCCGTCGAACCACAGCCACTTTTGTTGTCCAAGCCCCTCCGCCAACAGGAACGTTGCAGAAGCCTTCAACACCACCATGTATGCCGAAAGCAGTGCGTTGACTGTGATCAGATACGGCCATTGGGGGAGAGGCCTTCCTTGGTATGGGTATAGTGTTGCGAATGTTGCAATAGCCGCCGCTACAGCGAGGAAGCATGCAATGAACTCTTTCCACCAGATGGCGAATACTGCAGACGTCCGCCGAGGAGTTGCTCCATCCTTCTTGCTGTCCGTAGACGAAGTTGGGCGGATGGACGGTCTTTCAATAAACTTGGATGTCGTCCCCCCGGCCGATGTTTCACTGATCCCGCGTTGATGTCCAGATTCTCCCATCGAAAGCCGATTGCCATTATCGTAGGATGTATCAACCTCTGACATGAACATGTCTTCAGGTGTATGATCCAGAGGCCGGTATTGAGATGACATGGTGTCGGCGCAATTCCTCTACAGAATCTGAAAGTTGAGCGATGCGGTCTTTCAATATCAACATTGCAAGGGCCGAGGCCATCTCGCCCTGTTCAAAATTAGACTGGCCGTCCACTTCTGCAGTAGTTAGCACTATCCACTGATAATAGAAAGTTTTCAGCATTGTCCCAAAATGGAAGCCGCTGAATCCAGCCCCAGATCGAAATGAACACTGCTCCGTAGGCTCGTGGGGAATATGCTCATATACAAATCAAGCCATCTCCGCCGTCTCGACGCATGTTGAAGCTCAAGATCTTGTCGCTACGACTTCGACATGATCTCAGTCGCGAAAGATCCATAGTAAGGCTGCTCACTTGCGACATCCGGGCCCGCGCTATACAACCCGCTATGGCGCATTACCCTTACCTCTGTTCTTGCAAAAGGACTACTGGCTCTTTCCCACGTTCATACTCTGGCCGATATGCCTATCAAGCTCTTTCTTCGACGCATGTGCCTCACGCCGGAAGCTCGAAGCCGTCTTGAATGCGCTGCCGGCGAGCCCGACCAGCGTGGATTCTGGCGCGTAAGAAGGTCGCTCAGGATAGATCTCCAGCTGCCTTTGAACAATGTCCTGGTGTGAGCTCGACGAGACGGGCGCTCGAAGAGCGCGTTTGGGAGCCTGGGAGTGTTGAGGAGACCTGATCGGTGTCGAGGCAAGATCTTCGGATAACGCGCTACTGGCCATGACGAACGTAGGGAAACGTGCATCACATCCAAGACTCAAACATCGTAAGGACAGGCCTCCAAATCATGCAAACGCTTTGTCAACATCATCATGAAAGATGACATGCCCAGTGCTCGCGAGAGGTGTGGTGTGAGACCCCATCGGCTCCCGCCGAAACGACCGCGCCTCAGGAGAGAAGACCGCACCGGCGCTCAGCCCGACGTCCACCACCAACAAACATCACCCAAGAACAACCCCCAGCAACCATTTCCAGCACGGCCGCCGCCGACATCTCCTGATGACTTGGGAGAGACGCAGACTAGGCTGACCTACACCCCTGCTCCAGCCCGAGTTCACTGCCCGTGTTGTCCATATCCCCCCTGTCAGGGCTGAGGGTCGACGAGTATGCTCTCGAGTTTGTAAGTAATGTCTCGCTCGCTACGGACGAGCTGGCAGTCGTTCCGGGGGATGTTCTAGTCGATGGGCAAGTGTTTGCGGCGACAACGCGGTTGCGCGTAAGCCATGATGTTCTAGTCATTCTCTCTTCTCTGTATATAACGGTTGGTGAGTGACTTCCTCAATATTTCCTTTTCGTATCAGCATCACCACAACGAACAACAAAACAAAGTATTAAATCAATCGATCCACCACGGCAACCAAACCCTGCAGCAAAAACTGCAAAACCTGCACGAAACATCACCACTTCCTCGCCAACCTCCCACCAGAGTCGCCCAAACCCCCATCCCTCAAAATGAGCACCATCACCCCAACCCTCGCCTCCACGGCCGCCGTCGACGAAACCGTAAGTCCCCCCTCCCCCTCCCACCATCCAGCTGCAACCAACCAATCTAACACCCCCCACAGCCCGCCCTCCTCAGAGCCCTCCGCGCAATCCGCGACACCGTCCGAGAAAAACATCCCTTCGAACGCAATACCACGCTCCTCAAACCCCACGCCGTCGCCTGGGAACGGTATGCCAAACAACTTGGTCGGACGGCGATATTCTACGTCCCCGCGGCGATTGTGGTGTTTGGGTGGCCGGTGGCGATGAAGTGGGTTGTGAATTGGTCGAATGGGGTTTATGATGCGAAGCCGAAGAGGAGATAGGGGGCGTCTTGGGGAGGAGAGGCGTTTGTGTTTGGACTTGGACGCGGGTGTTGTGAGAGGCGTGGTGTTGAAGCGAGGCGTTGTTCGGGACGGGCGTTTGGGGGTCGAGGCATTTATTGGCGTTTTGAGATACCACTGGGAAGGGGGCTTTGGGGTTTTAGATCTTGTTATGGTTGCGGAGGGGTGTACAAAGTTCTGTATAGAGGCTTGTTAATGATACAGTTTTTTTGGTGTTCACTTCCTCTGCTTTTCCCCATTTCAGATGTTTGATAGATGAGAGAAAGTGGTCTTTGGTCGGCCGAACGGTCTTGTTGGTATTCACGTACTTCTACGTTGTAACTTCACCTTTCGACCATATGTCGTAGGGAGGAGACCGTTTCACTTAGTTCACGTACGCATAGTGCCGAAAAACATCAGCCTCCACATGAGCCCCCTGGCAACTTTTCGATCGACCAGCGTCAAGGGCATTCATCAACCACTTTATCATATCCTCAAAGATCACATCCTCTACATGCAACAAAACTACGAAACAACCCCATCCATCCTCACCCTCCCGGGATCCCTACTAACCTCATCCCCCCACTCCGCCGTCCACCCATTCTCCGCCAAATACCTCTTCCACGCCTCATCCTCATCCCCCAACCTCGCACTAACATCTGGAATCACAAACCACGCCACCGCGGCCCCGACGACCGCAAACGCCGCCCCGATCAAGAAAGTCGCCTGGTTGGCCTTCTGCTCATCCGCCCAACTCGCCAGAATCGCACTGAAGACCTGCGTCCCGATCGCCGCCCCGGCTTTGCTCCACGCGGCGACGAGCCCCATCATCTGGCCCCGGATGGAGGTGGGGAAGCACTCGGAGGCGGTCAGGACGACGGTGGAGCCCGGACCGACTTCGCCGAGGGTGAGGAAGATGCCGTAGAGGACGACGAATAAAGGGAAGATGGATTGGATCTGGGCGTTGGCGCCGCCGAGGATGAAGCCCAGGAGGGCTTGCAGGGCGAAGCCGAGACACATGGTTTGGCGGCGGCCGATGCGGTCGGAGAGGTAGCCGCCGAGGAAGGGGCCCGGGATGTAGAAGCAGTTGATGACGACGCCCCAGCCGAGGTTGGTGATGAAGGAGTCGGAGGCGTTGACGCGGGTTGTTATCGTGGAGGAGAAGATGCCGAAGGGGATGGAGATGTAGTTGTACATGAACCATGTGGCGGAGCAGCCTAGGAGGGCGCGCCAGTAGCGTTTGATGGCCAGCCAGTAGGGGACGCGTTGCTTGCGCATGGCGGACTTGCGGTAGGCTGAGGACACGGCCATGCGCATGCGGAACCAGAAGATGGATAGCGGAGGGACGAGGCCCAGGGCGAAAGAGGTCCGCCAGACGATGGGGTAGTTCTCGACTTTCTGGTGCGTGCAGAGGAGCAGGAGAAGAGGCACCAGGCCGCCCCAGACGTAGCCGAGGGAACTGGAGAGGTCCGCGAGCATGGCGAACATGAAGCCGCGATGTTTGCGGAGGGCCTTGTTCTCGTCTGTGGCCTCGGTCGCGCCGGCTCCTGAGACGGGATACTCGCCTCCAGCGCCTACGCCGGCGATTCCACGGGCGATGACGAGCATCCAGAAGAGGCCGTTGGGAGAGGTCCCAGAGGCACCAGCAGAAAGCGCAATACCAAGGACAAGAAGGATAGTCGTCGCCACGGCACCGGTCTTGCGTCCGAGTTGGTCAACAATCCCGCCGAAGAGCAGCATGCCAACAATCATTCCGATGAGGAAAGCATTGCTGAGACGACTATACATCGCCGTCGTCAAGGCATCCGGGTAGAGGACCGCAAGGAGGAGTTCGACATTGCCAATGACCGCAGCATTGCTTTCGAAATAGTCAGCCATTGTTCTCGATAAAGTATTTTGTTCAGCAGAGTATCAAAAGACATACTACCCATCACTCCCAATCGCCAACCCCGAGTACAAAACCATCAACCACACCGACGTCTTGCTATACCGCGCCTTCTCGACATCGCCGCCAGTTTCGGAGTCGACCTCGACGATAACCATGTCATCTTTCTTCTCATCCTCTCGACTCGTATCAGGAGAAACAGCGTCGACACTCTCTTCGACTCCCATGATGACAGATAAAACTCCGAATTGGTTATGCACAAATCAAAGATCTCCTCGTGTCACCCGAAAATAAAATATGAACAAGCATTTCCACGCACGAAGAGCTGAGGTTACATTTTCCCTTGACTCCTCGGGGCGGCCAGGCAGAGATAGGCGAGAGATCTTCGTAGGCGCTTTGCCGGGCAACGATCTACGAGAGCAGCACCCGGTGGCATTCTCGCAAAGAACAGTAGGTGTCGGCGAGAGCCGCGAGCATTCGTTCGATTCCTTGTAGTCTTGAGGTTTCGGGACATCTGTGTCCGGACTCGACGTGAATATGCCAAGAGTCTAGTCTCCTATTCAGTCGGAGTCGAAGTAGAGGCAAGAAGTTTGAGAGAGGCCTCGAAGATTGACGTCTGGTGAACTCGCACAGGCTCAAATGTACGCCTCCAATACCCAGATATTCGCAGCTCATGCTGCTTCCATCTCTCCTCAAGAGCGAACATTCGACTTACTTATTCAAAGTCGTTCCTTGATCTCGAGAAAATGCATGGTCCATCATGCAATGCTTCATGAATGCTCCATAAACTACGATTATCGTGATATCCATAGACTATGCCCGTGTTTTGTATAATCCCAATGAGCGCTGCCGCCCGTAAATCTTCCGTTTTCGTATGGTCGTTGTCGTTCAAGTTTTTATTTCTGTTTTGCTTCCCCATGCACGATCCAATAGCTCTGTTCGGGAAATGTCTTTTTCATTCCGTGTTCGATCAACATATCTGGTGGCGTGTGTGCGACCATTGCCTTGCCATTGACAGCACCGTGAGCACACCTCCCCAATGGCCATCATGGCGGGCGACAGCCCTTATGCCGGGAGTAGTACTGCGAGCTTGAGCTTGAGCTTTCGCGGTTATGCGTTTGGATCAAGCCTGTCGACGGTCGTCTTATGTGAGGTCTGGTTTGACCTAGATGCAGCGAACGAGCTTGATTCAGTCATTCGGCATCATCGACGTCGCCTCACTCAAAGCCGAAGGCCCCCTCTCACTCCCATTCGCCTCCACCGGCGATGCAGAATTCATGCGAAAGCTCCTCAAACTGCCCGGTCGACTCCTCGCCGGCGACACCAGGTTCGGCGTCGTCGGTCGACTTCCATGCGACGAATGCAGTAGTCTCGGTGCCAATGCCATGTTCTCGGCACTGACGATCTGACCGGCATATGGTGAAGCGTGTATGACTGTGCCCGGCGATGTAAGGGGCGGTGGCGCGGGAGACTCAGTTCGAAAAAGAGGATGAATGAAGGATTGGTCGTTGGCATTAGAGTTTTTCCTTCGTGTGGTAGGCCGGCGCATGCTGCGTAGTGAAGAGGTTTCGGAGTTGGGTGACAATGGAGATATGGGTGATTGGAACGGTGATTCTGGTAGAGGAAGTTGATCAGGAGCGATGCCTTCTTCATCCGGAAAGGGGCCATCGAGTGGATGGGCGGGCGAGACTGGTCGACTGCCTGGGATCGTTTCGAGTCTCGTCATCTTTGTCTTTGATCCAAACGGACTGGCGTAGCCGTCCTCCTCCACGGCCGAGGTGTCCCAGTTCTCAAAATCGTCATTCTGCCGCATGACTTCTACCATGGGCTCTGCTTGGACGCTTCTTGAGTCTTTCGAAGCGAATGAAGTGTGAAGCAACAGTCTTGTCTTTGAGGTCATCGGCCTCAATGCTTGGCTGGCGGAGTCTCTGAAAGATGATCTTGGGCTACTCGCCGCCAGCGATGGCGACCCTGGCTCAGAATGTGATCTGAAGAACTTGGGTGACGATGGCCCAAGTGAAGCCATATGAACTGATATCGATCTTCGCATAAGAGATCGAGGTGGCGATGGTCTTTCTTCCAGAATCTCGACAGGCTGAGCGAATCCCCGCTCTGATGGTGGCCATACCAGAACATAGAACGCCGTCTGTGATATTAACCCAATGATACCGATGGCCAGTCCGGCTGCCGCGATTCCTCTCGTACCAACAGCGAAATCAGAATCTTCCTTGAGCATCTTTTCATCCGCAAAGTGAATCGTCAACGCCAGGGTGATTAGGCTGAGGATTGTCCCAGCAAGGCAAGATAATGCCCCGGGGATCCATGTCGTGAATAGCAAGGCCCGAGAAACCCGTGCTAGGAACAATCCAATGTTTGCGAGGAGAGCGAACAGGGCAAAGATCTCAAATACCGAGGCCGTGATGGCGAGACCGAAGATGCGGCCAGGTTTGAGAACAGTGGTGGCCAGACTGGTGGTGATGGCGGTGGCGGCGATTTTGGTGACGCAGGCCAGTGCGGTCACGGCGAAGAATATTATGGTCGATCGGTCCATGTTACGCGTTAGAAATGCCATCGTGTGGTGTGAGAGGTCAAGTCGAAGTCGTAGCAATCAGGAAATGTGCAGCATATGGCGTGTATCAGTCGATCGTGAAGTGGTCGTCAGCATGGCATTGTTGTGTGGATGTAGATGAAGGCGTGGCAGCGTCGAACAATGGCTCCCGTCTCAGGTCGTGTCCAGATGCAAGCCGTCTCAAGTTGTAAACAGATCCATCAACGCCAGGCGAGGTCGAAGTTGACGTGGGGTCGAGCAAGGCCAGTCGCGGCCCTCCAGGTGGTGTAAGGACGCGAAAATGGAGCGCAGCTTGTTTACGACAACACATGGAGGGGGAAATGGCTGCAGTCTTCTATTCGCGTGTGGTGTCGCTTTGGGGCGGGCACGTTGAACGTTGCACGGCTTTGGCTGACAATGACTAGGTACACCCAGGCACAGGGGGCCCGAGATGGTTCGGGCAGCTAGCACAGCCTGGGCAGCTGGTCTTGTGTCGCGATGGAGGAGGAGCCAAACGAACAAGACTCTCGGGCCGCAGCCTCGCGAGAGTCGGTGATTGTCGGGGGACGCGTTCTGGACAGGGACATGATGACACGGCAAAGGGAATAGCGAGAGGCGACAAACCTTGTGAAATTGGGCGAGCGGGAAAAGAGCTTGTCGAGGCCGTGTTTGCGGAGGGAGTCAGTCGGGTCGAGGGCGAGTAGTTGTTCAGCGACAGGGTCATGCCCGCGACGGAAGACGCATGGCGGGCGCCACAACCAAACGCCTATCCCAGCTCCCGCAGCGCAGGCGCGCATGCCTGTCGCGTGTCCGTCATGTCGCCCTGGATGGAAGTGAAGACGAGGCGTAGCTACCATCAGCGGCGGCGGCTGCATGAGTTCGCATATTGGCAGTGGTGAGGCGTGTGTCGAGCAGATTGCCGCCCTTCATCTCCAATGTCCGCGGGGTGGGCAGCACAAGATTCAATACGATTCCATGTCGCTCCCGTCCGACCACACACTGCTGTCTGCGCTGCAGGCGGTGTTGCAGCGGCTGCCAGTCTGCTGTCAGACACTGTGACGTGTATCGTTGGCCGAGAATAGGTTGGTGAAATGCTGCGACTTGTACCACGGCATTGATGGCGCCCAGAACCCCATGGCAGCCAGGTCCGCCAACGACTGGGCGATGTCGAATACGATTTGGAAGGGTGGCTGCAGACCTGGAATAGAGCCCGAGCTGCACCATTGCATCGCCGACGGGGGATTGGAATGGTTTGTCGGGCCGCGACGAGATGAGGGCGTGGTTGTTTTGGAGGGGGGACGGACGGGTTTGGAGGACCAACAGACGCTGTGTGACGCGAGATGCCCGCCAATAGCAGGCACATTATAGCCGGTATAGATCAGACATGCCGGACGAGATCAAGACGTCGAGATGGAGGGAATGCTCTCAAGGCACGGATGATGCAGCGCCGTTGTGGATGAGGATGATGAAGGAGCGAAGGTTGGATGTCTGGCATGGCCGTTGTAAGTCGGAACGAGGCTCGAGTCGAGGCCCGCTTCCATCGTCATCGCGTATCACTGGCAATATCGCCGGAGTCAGGGCCATATTCAATGAAGCTGAGCGTGAGTCGCGAATGAATAGTGAGGAGATTGAATCAAATATTCATGGGCGGAAGTGAAGGCCTAGATTTGTCGTCGTGCGTGACGAGTGATGATGATGACCCTGGCGATAAGATTTCTGGATGATCGTCAGGGCCGTGAGCTCAGTGAGCTGCTGCTGCCAACTCCTCGTCCGAACAACTCCCTCACCCACTATTGAACCTACACCACCACCCTCTCTCACCTGCTATAGCCCAACGAGCTCACCCATAACCTGCACGGAACACAATGGCGCCTGGCGCGACATGTCCGTTCTTCTCCTTGCCGGTCGAGCTACGACTGGAAATCTACCATTATGCCGTCTTGGACTGTCGGGCCATCACTGGTGAGATATACCCTCAGATTGAGTGAAAGCCAGTGTGCTGCTTGGGCTTTGACTGAACAAAGCACCGGCGACATGTGAGAAGCTTCACGCTGACAGAGACGAACAGTCGGCACAGCACGACTAGACGGCCCACACCCCGACATCATCCACCGCCTCTACGGCAACAAACGATCGCCATATCCCGGCATTCCTCAGAACCACGAGCCGGTCGTCGAGACGCGATACGATGCCTCCCTTCTCTCACCCACCAGTCCCGCCGTCATCCCCCTCACCCCAGCAACCATAGACCCGCCCGAAGACACCTACGAACACACCCAAACAGCCTACCATACCCTCCAGATCCTGTGCAAACAAGTCAATGAAGAGCTCACGAGCCACTTTGCAATCCCCGCCCGACGACAGACGAGTCTGTTCGTCCAGTACCCCTCGGGACTGCACGTCCTGCACACTTTGACCCCTCAGCTGGTGCGTCAATCTCGAAGCGTCCACCTGGCTGGAACCTATGTCCCGACCACTTTCTGTCCCCGACGAGCCGCCATCATGGGACCACGCACGGAGGTGCCGAAGGAGAAGCTCCAGGGGAATGTTGCACCGGACTCGAAGGGCCAGTTGGATAACTTGATAAGGTCTCTTTGCGGACCGCATCCTACTCACCCAGTCGAGAAGCTGGAGATGCGGATATACTACCCTGGAGACGACTCCTACTCCACGGTCTGGGGAGACGACAGCTCGCCGCTGGTCATTGCTCTGAGGAATGTTGCTTATGGTGAAGTGAGCATCGAGCTCTGGCGTGGCAGGTACGGGACTGGGGTTTACATGGCTGCGAAGCCTACCGGGGACAGGAGACGAACTGTGAGTACCGTCTGGCGAAAGCTCGAAGAAGGACGGAGGGGAGAGGCACCATGTGGCAGTTGGGTTGTCGACTCACAGTGGCCTGCTTGGAACACGACCTACGAGATGAGTGAGGGACCCCAGGGCGATCTCATCGTCACTGAGCCGGTTCAATAGGCGACCAAACACGGATCGAGACGATGAAATCAGATACGGATTACGAAGCGACGACGATGACACCTTGGAAAGAAGAACATCACATGACCTGTTGGACACTCACAAACGACACTTTTTGATACAGAAAGTTGATTGGGATAGAACACATTGACTCAAACAAAACATGGCGTTCAAGCCTTCTCTTTGCGTCCTGTACCTGCATTGGTGCCAGAATCCTTCCCGAGGCCACACACGCCAGAAGCATACATACAAGCTACTTCGAGTAGCAACTTCAAGATGTAGGCATATTGGTTTCTACACCACAACCCAATGGCTCTGTTTCCTCAATCTCGCCAGACACAGACCCCACGAATGTACCAGTGTCTCTCTAAAAGTCAACTCTCAGAAGCAGGACCTACACCCTCCCTCACCATTTCCTACAATGCCCAGAGCACTCACTCTCCTCTCACTCCTCTCTTGACCTTCCAACACCACCCATCTCCCCAAATTACCAGATATAACCCCTCTATCTCAAAAAGTTCTCGAACATGACAGCCAGCTTCCTCTCGCTGGAGAACGCACTAGGATAGACACGGTGCTTGCTCCATGGACATGGTATTTGGAGGGGGAAGTCATTACTACTTGAGAGAAGGAGGGAAGAAGAGGTGAGTTTTGAGATGAATCTTCTTTGCTTCCACTCAACAGGGATGCACGAAGCTCGGGCAATGCAACTAGATATGTACAGTGTGATACATCTAAACTCCCGGCCTCCTCCTCCTCTACGTCGCCGGCCATGGATTTGAGTATCGGGCGGTGTCTGTCTACGTCCTTGCTCGCAAACGCCATCGGACGAGAACACCTCCATCCCAGGACCCTATGGGGAGGGGATATCCCCTTCCGTCTCCGGCGCTGCATTCTACATTATCGAGATATCTCTTCTTGATGAGTTGGACACCGTCGTGCGCTTGCAGCAAGGCTCCGTGCTCACTCCAGGGGAGCCAGCTAGTGAGCTAGTGGCATTCCCAAGGCGAGGCCTGCGAAGACATTGAGGAAGAACTAGAAGGGGTTGATTGAGAATGCGAGTAAAGCGGGTCGAGAGGGAGGGGTGATGTCCATGTTGGGAAGACTTCTACTTTCCTCACACTTCGTGAATGGGAGGCCGGCGGTCTAAAAGCTCTACGATCCCACTCTCGTAGCACATCTCCCTTTCCTAGCACATTACCCTCTTCCTCACCCTCACTACAACCGTCCACACATCTCCACCAGCGACCAACCCCTCTCACACTGACAATCGAGACTCCCCAGCCCCCATCACACCAAGCTTTTAAAGGAGAGAGAGAGAGGCTTCCCTCTGTCAGCATTAGCAGCAACAACAACCACACGCTCACGAAGAACCAACAACCATACGCCCACTAGGAACTGACAGTGAGAACCACAACCACAAGTCCCGAACGACGATCTCTCTCACCCACCCACCCATCCCCTAATCCACGAATCAACTCGAACATCAGGCCAGCAAATCAACCCCCCTTCCCCACGATGAGTGAGACGGAAGGAAGCAAGCACCACAATACAGTAGCTAGCTGAGCCAGAAGTCGTCGGGTCAGACAACATGTGAGCTATAGAATTGTACGACTGTACGTAGGAGCGAGCTCTCGAGGTCAAGTCATGGATCCAACTAGGTAAGTATACTACACAAGATCCAATCTCACTCACTACTTGGCCAGTCTCACTACTTACCTGGTCTCACTACTGACCTGGTCTCACTCGGTCGCTCAACTCGCTCAACTCACATGATACGGACAAATTGACCAGCACTGCACAGCCCCATCAAGTAAGAAAAGCAATTGACTCTTTGAAATGCGAGAGCACAGAGAGAGGGTAGGGAAGAGAGATGATGGTGTTCAAACTGCTGCTATGCTGCGCCAGACAAGCCAACCAGCAAACATGGGGAAAAGGGGGCCCTTCCCTCTTAGCAAAAACCACATCATCAGTCAATCAATCCATACGTACACGTAGTCACTCTCACTCACACTCAATGCCCTTTCCACCCCTTCACCGTCCCCTCTCATTCCAGACCCAATCACCGGCAAAATCACGATAGCAAAGAAACACACCGCACACACAACATCGAGTTTGAGTGGGTAAAATCTGTAATTTCACACGCCCCCCTCCCTCCCACTCCATCAGAGTGGAGAGAATATCAAAGGGCAAAGAGCTATTCCTACAGATACGAGTGCCAGCTGCCATCAATCCCCCATCCCCATCCATTCATTCCCATGGTCCTCCAGTATCCTCCATCCCCCTTTGTCCATCATCGCGAAATAAAAAGCAAAAAAAGCAAAATGGTATCTCATCTCTGCGGGTTTTCTCTCATGCTTGTTAAAACTCCGTCACCTTCCCAATTTCCCATTCTTCACAGAAGCGCAGACACATATCGCCGGTGTCGCATCTTCATTCCGTTTCCCATTCGAATGATAATAAAAACTCCTTGGATTCCCTTCCCACCAGCAGATAGCGCCAGCAAACTTGAAAGTAAAAACATAAAACATATGGACAAAGGGGGGTTTCTCATCGTCTTTCTTTCCTTCCATGGGACCTTGGACCGGGGAGCTGCACTACACTTGGAGAGTTGGCTGACTTTCCCCTCACGGAGAAAAGTCACGCCAACCTCCAACCCACTCAATATCGCCGTCTTCTAATTCGTTATCAAGGAAACTCTTCTCGGGTTTGTTGGACCGCAGAACCGGTACGGGTGATGTCTTCGTCACGGGTGGTTTGTGCTCGCGCCAGTTGTTGTCTTCTTGCCACACTTTGCTGTTGTTGAACGAGTTGGACCGAAGTCGTTGAGGACTGCCAGTGTTGGGACGCCAGCTGGGGGCACGCTCGCGTTGCTTGGGCTGAGTAGTCGCCTTGGCTTTCTTGTTGCTGAAGGGCGTAAAGCTGGCAAAAGCGTCCGAGTACTTGGTCTTGGGTGGAGTGGCAGTCGCCGTGGCGGCTGCACTGGCACTCGCGGAGTTGTCGACCTTGGCACGACGGAAGTTGCCCAAAGCAGCCCACTTGTCGAGGATCGAGATGGACTTGGTTTTTGGCAGGTCGGTACGCTTCTCATCGGATCCTGGAATCTTCATTGGACTGGCAGAGCGGGCGTTGATGTCGAGGTCGATCAAGCCCTGGCGAGGTGTGACGCTGCCACGTCCGTCGTCCTTGATGTTCTGCAGTTGAGGCGTACTTGGCTTGGCGGTGCTCACACGCTCGATGTCGTCGCCAGCATCTTCGAAAGGATGGCATTCCTGCATCTCTTCCTGCAACTCTTCTTCCTCATCCCACAAGTCACTCCAACTCTTAGAGAAGCCATTGGAACCATAGGGAGTCGTCTTGTTGGATGGACGCGTGAAGCTGATTGGAAGTGACCCAACAAAGCCGGACTTTGGCTTGACAGACACGGCTGACTGCATCGACTTGGCGGACTTGGTAGACTTGTACGACATGCCGAGGCCAGAGTCGAGATTGGAAGACAGTGAAGCCTCGTCGGTGTCAACATACTGCCATTCAGAGTTGTTGGCAGACTGGGGGAACAAGTCCATATCCTCGTCGCGGATGGTCGACAGCTGGCGGTTGGCTTTCTGGGGCGTCTTAAGCGCGGCGGTCCAGGGGAATGAGTCTGCGCCAGGCAGTGCAGGGCTAGTGACAGATGGCGTGCGCAGTGGTTCACGAGCTGCCGTGGCGATGATGGGAACCAGGTCATTGTTGTCCGTGCAAAAGTCGTCAAGAGATTCGTCATCAATCGTAAAGCTGATCACCGCATTGAGTGCATCGCGAACAGCGGCCAGTGATCGGTTGGCAGGGTCCAATGCCAGACAGTGGACGAGGACATTGTACGTGTCCTGCGACATGTTGGGAAAGACATCGAACAAGCTCTGGCGGTCGCGGGCAAAGTCGTTAAACAATGGGTCCTTCTGTGTAGGTGTCGCGAACGGGTTGCGCTGGAACAGGATGTTGAGAAGAACAATGCCAATGGCCCAGATGTCGGCAGCCGCGGGCGAGTATCCATATCCATACACAGAAGCGTCATACTGCTCAGGCGCCATGTACCGGTCAGAGCCAACAGCAAACTCGGTAGACCAAGTATCGGTGGTTGCCAATCCAAAGTCACCAAGCTTCATGGCTCCATTCGACGTCAAGAAGATGTTCTCAGGCTTGATGTCGCGGTGGTAGACGCCCTTGGAATGGAGATAGTCGATGGCATCCACAAGCTCCAGCATAAAGTCACGGACGTGTCCGGTCTCCAATGGGCCCTTGCCCAGTCGGATTGCCTCGTAGAGATCGCCATTGTTGCAAAGCTCCAACACCATGTACTGATGGTTCTCCGTCTCAAAGTGGTGAATCAAGTTGACGACGTTGGGGTGATTCGCAAGTCGTGAGTGAATGGCAAGCTCTTCGGAGCGGTCGTCGATCGCAATGGCAGCCGGGCATGTTGTCGATGCCGTGCCGGCACTCTGCTTGGTGATGCATTTGATTGCGACGTCATCTCCCGTGATGGTATCCCTGGCGGCCAGTACCATACCAAAAGAGCCATGGTTGAGGGGTGAGACTGTTATAAATCGGCCATTGTCGAGAGTTCTTCCTGGTGTGAAGCCATCTCGCATACAGGCCATGGGGTCGGGGTTCCAGGGGTTCGGTGGTGTGGTATGAGTTCGTAAACAGACAAATGAAAACGTCTAGCCGCGCCAACAGTTCGTAAACTTTTCGGTAGCAAGCCTTCTCTCCTCTCTCAACTCCAGCGTTCGTTCAGATCCAAGATAGCAATACAGGAAATCGCTCAGTCGCTCGCTTGCTCCAAGTCAAAAGCAGGTGGTGTTCGCCGCGGGTGTGTATTCAAAGAAACGTAAGGATCGTCAATGTGGTCATTTGTACGTATTTGCAGGAAACCGGTGCAGTGAAGATGAAGCCGTCGGTGGCCCAACTTGCACGCTCTGGTTGGTGTCGTTGTCGTCCGCGTCCGTCAAGGAGCAGTACGGCGGGTTGGTGATAATAGTCGTTACAGCGTCAGGGGAAGGGGATGGAGTCGGTTACAAGTATAAGGTGGAATATGTGTCGGGAAGAAGAGGAGTCGTAGAGTCGAGAGGTGGTGTTCGAGTCAGAGCCAGGCGGCGGCGGGGGCGGGGATGAGTCGTAGTCGGGGTGGAGGAGAGGTAGTGGTGGTGGTGCCTGGAGCCAATGGTGCCTGAGGTTGGGAGCGCTGGAGGACCTTATCGAGCATCAAAGGGCCAGCGGACCAACAGGCGTTGTCGGTGGTATATAGAGGGGTGCGAGGAGGGGTTCGGCGGGTGGATGTGGTGAGCAGAGCAGAGCAGAGCAGTGCCAGGCGTGATGTCGCAAAGGGTCTCTGCTATGCTACAATGCTTGCGCAGCGAGCAAGGCCGATGACGAATGCACGGATGGCGGGCGAGGCGGAAGCTGATCAGCTGCGGCGACGGACCCTGTTGCTGGTGTATCACATCTGCCCTTTTGCAAGTCGAGGTGGGAATTAGGCCGTAGGTATAGGAGGAGAGTGTATCGTCCAGGGAGCGCCCGCGTGCTAGTGCTCTGCTGCGCTGTGCTTTCAGGTTGCTGCTGCTGGCTAGCGGGCTGGGTGTTGCTGCCAGTTGCCGGGTGCAGCACCAGGAATGCGTCCGCGATTACTTCGGCGAGCGAACACAGCAATGACTGGCAGGCACGGCGGTGAGGAAGGAGCGTCCGGGCGAGAAGGAAAGCGCGGCCGACAGAACGTGGAAGCCCCAATGGCAGACACGGCGGGTCGTAGGTGGATGGAGGGAGGTTATGAGGAGGATAGGAGTGGTGAGCGGTGTGGCATGTTGGTGCTGTAAGGATGGTGGGTTGAGGACCGCAGCAGCAGCAGGCAGGACGACGACAGCGACAGGCCCGACGGGAGACGGAAACAGACGCACGGCCACGTCCACGCTTCCAGGTCCTTCGCTCGCCCAGCGCCGTTCTTTGTTCTGATAGGGCCAATCTAAGCCTGCATGCGTGCGTGCGCTAGCTCCGAGCCAAAGCCAGCTCGCGCCCAAAAGCGGCGGGACTGCTTGGTCAAACTTCATCAAAGTGGCATGGCACGGCGCTGTCTTTGACGCCGGCCGAGACGACGCTCGACTGCGTGACCCCAGATGGCTCCATTGCACCATTTTGCCGCCGACGTCGTTTGCCTGCGCATGACCTAATAGCCGCGACGAGAGGTGATGCTCTTTGTTGCGGACAGAACACGTATCCAGACGTATCGCAATGCACTGTGCACAGTGGTACCGGAGCTGCAAGCTGCCTTGTTGTCGAAGTCTCCCTCTCCCTCTCCCACCACCTGGCGCTTTCCAGAACCCCCTCCACGCTGCCTGCGAGACGCCCGTTTCAGTCCACCGCGGTCATTGATGAAACTGAGACCCCTCCACCAGCGCCTCCCCGATCAGACCAATGGGCCAATCCACTGCAAAGTCGGCCACGCGGGCAACCTTGGGAAATTGCGAGATGGTGGGGTCCAAACGAGACACGCGCTCGTCATCCCCAAGCCCAAGCCCTCCGATAGGGATGGCATAACTGCTCACGCTGCTGCTAATTTCGATTCACTCGCCAGCTTGCCGATATGCTGACGATCGACGCCAACAATGCTCTACTCCAATGGCCACCATATCCTGTAGCTACTGCTACAAACTACTGTGCATGTACGTACTACTTATCCTGGGTGCTGTGCGTCCAGCAAATGGAGCTCCGTCGTCGTACTCCATTCCACCAAGGTCTTGCCACTGGTACCGTCTGCGTCAGTTGCATAAGCGTCCCGCCAAGTCCCGGAGAATACAGCCTAGACTTGCCCGCTTACAGCTGTCCTCGTGCTCTGCCCCAGGTACAAGAGTACGCAGGTACCGACAGAGGGTTCTTTGTCTCCCATGACAGCCAGCCGTCGAGCCAGCCAGACCTTGGTGACCAAGACGAGGCGTTGCCGTTACTTCAGATTCAATCGCCCCTTTCTTCCGTTCAGGAGAAGGCATCTCATGACCAGTTCGAAAGGCTTCCACGTGAGCGAAAGCTTGATCGCGACAGCTGCCAGATGTCTCAGAAGCGTCCAGCGTCTTCTTGTTCGTGGTTGATCGCCTAGCCGACCCGGGTCGAGTCCGAGTCCAAAACGTCCAGCGCCTCGATAGATGAAGACTGGTTGCAGCGGCGGCGGCAACGGGTCGGATAGACGCCTTTCTGCTCACGACTCGCGAAACCCACGCGCCAGCGAAGCCAATATCTGTCCGCACCCGCGACAGACATCCATTCAACACTCGTCTATGTGTGTGAGGGTGTACTCGTGCAACATGCGGTGAAGCCATCTCTCCACGAAGCATGCGACGCCATCTAATCCACGGTAACGACACCACCTATAGCAACCCAGCGTGGTGAAGAGATTTCCCGTCAAGCATCGTATGCGTGCAGTAGCGGCGCTGCGACAGCGATAGTCCAGCATGCACAATGTTCCGAGGAAGCAGCCACATTGCTCGAGGCCAATAGGTAGGACTGTTATTACTCGCTTGTGTAGTATGCGTCGAGTCGTGTATGATCAGCGCGCATACCAATGGCGCGAAAAATGCAAATATTGATTGCTGCAGTTGAGGCCCCTCAACCGCGCTTTTTAGCCACGACGGAGAAGGCGGTGTGAGCTGGCGAATGCGTGTGAGAACGGTGTCGATTCCGGCAGATGCTCTTTTGAAACTGAACAATTCTCGACGTGGTCGACGTGAACTTCATCCGTAGAATTCAAGACGTGAGGTTGTGGTAGAGTAGTGGTGGTGCTTGTCGTTGCTCGGGTGATGGTTGTCCTCTCCACCGCGCTGCGCTACGCCCACGAAGAGAGCTTCCTTCAGCTGCCCACCAAAATTGCAGAACCTCTCCAAGCCACGCAAAGCCTGAAGACTGGAGGATCTGGCCTGCCCTGACATTAGCGCTCCGCCACCCATTCTATTGTCTTGTGCCTGAACAGATTCACTTCGTCTGTATACGCTGGCGAGTAATAAGCGAAAACCCCACGGTCATGGCAGCAGAGGAGAAGGAACAGAATGGAGGCAAGAAGATCGAGGGCGTGAAACTGATTCTGCTTGATATTGGTACTGCGCTCAACAAGTTCGATATTTTACAACAAGAAGTTCTAGATTCTAACAAATCTATCTGTAGAAGGAACAGTCTGCCCAATCTCCTACGTCAAAGACACACTGGTAGGTCGTCGCCACACACTCTCCCGTCTCCTCACTCATGTCCCCTCTCCAACTTCCACTCACCATCTCCCCCTCTACACAGTTCCCCTACGCAACCCGCGCCCTCCCCAGCGTCCTCGCCAAACAATGGGACTCCCCAACCTTCGCCCCCTACCGCGCCGCCGCCCCCGAAGCAGCCCGCGCATCTCCAGAAGCCTACATCTCCGCGGTCAACGACCTCACCGCGGCGAATTCGAAAATCCCCTGGCTCAAGAATCTCCAGGGCTACCTCTGGGAAGACGGCTACAAGACGGGCGCGTACTCGACTCCGTTGTTTGCTGATGTGGTGCCGGCTTTGAGGCGGTGGAGGGATGGAGCGTCGAGGTTGGCGATTTATTCGAGCGGGAGTGTGTTTGCGCAGAAGCTGTTATTCGCGCACGTGCAGACGTCTGACGGTGAGGGAGGGGATGTGGATGTGGATGAGACGCTGCCGGCCAACAGGAAACGTGGCAGGACGGATGACGCTGGCGAGGAGGCCGAGGATCTGGCCGTGGAGGTTCCGAGTAAGAAGCGGCAGGCTGTGTCGTTGGCCGTGGATGACGGTGAGGAGGGTGCTGCTGATGCTGATGCGCAGGCTGTGGTTGGTGCTGATAAGGATGGTGGTGGTGGCGATACGGCTGCTGCTGCTGAGGAGACACCGGTTGCTGAGAAGCAGAAGCAGCAGACCGAGGACTTGACGGGTTTGTTTGAGGGATGGTTTGATACGACGAATGCTGGGCCGAAGACTGAGGCGAAGTCGTACGAAATCATCGCTGAGGAACTCAAGGTATGGGAGTTGCAGTGCTTTGATTGTGTGCTATTGCTAACGAGTAAGCAGCTCCAACCCGAAGAGATCCTCTTCTTCAGCGATAACGTGCGCGAGATCGAAGCGGCTCTCAAAGCAAAGATGCAGACTGTCTTGGTTGACCGGCCGGGCAATGCGCCTCTCGAAGAGGGCGATGTCGAGAAGTATCGCCTGGTCAAGTCCTTCGATGAGGTCGAGGTGTAGAAAGGGTCTTGGGGCACAGGTCTTTAAGATCCAGCGCAGTCTTGAATGAAGCAAAAATCATCCTTCTTTGCGAGAATACTTGTGAAGGTGCGCTGTCCACGGGCAACATGCGGGCATTGTATAGTTCAAATCAGGGACGTAGAATCTCCATTGTATACTATCCTCCGCAATGGCGGTTTATCAGGCCATTATTGGTGAAAACAGTGGCAGCACATCCATCAGCGCCAACAATGTCCTCCTTCTCAACCCTCCATACCCTAAGAGAAATCCTCCACGAACACGCCTCCGACCCCCCAACCCTCCAACCACCAGAAGAACCCCCTCTCCCTACCAGCGATGACGACCTCCCACCCCCAACCAACACCTCCGACCTCCCACCCCCCTACACCAACGACACACCCCCACCCCCCTACACCCTCTCCCTCTCCCCCTCCCCTCCCCTCCCACTATCACCCTCCCTGTAACCCTTAACAACTACACCCCCCTCCACTTCCTCCCCACCGGCCTCCGCGCCCGCACCACAAACAAACTCCTCACCTCCCGCCTCCGCACCACCACAACCCACCCCCTCACCCTCCCCCACCACGCAACCTACCGCCAAACCCTCATGGCTTTACGGAACCTCGCCACGCGCCTCACAGGTATCCGCGCCCCGAGCGAGACGCATCGGCTTTTTCGCCGGCTCGCGCTCTTCACGCAAGAGGGTTTGGGGTTGGTGTGGCTCGATCAATCGCAGTGGCCTCGTGTTCGTGAGTCTATTGATAGTGGCCAAGGCGAGGTGAGGCTTTGTTTTCTGTTTTGTGTCGTGGGGAGGGAGTACACGGGTGAGGGGAGGTTTAAGAGGTGGTGGAGGGGGGTGAGGGGGGAGATTTGGGGGGTTAAGGAGGGGCCGGTTTTGTTGGAGGAGTTGTTTTTGAGGGGGAGGGAGAGGCGGAGAGACGAGAGGGGAAATGTTGGAGAGCGGGGTCCTGGAGATGGGAATGGGCGTGATGTGAGGGTGAGGACGAGGGAGAGGAATGCTTCTTGGATGGGTTTAGGATTAGTGGTTTAAGTACACATCCAACTCGAAGCTCTGCTCGTATCGCCTTTCCCATCCCAGACACTTTTCCGCGGGTAGACGCAGTGCGTTCGCTGACTTTCGACACCATCAGCGACATAATCATTCTTGAATTTGGTACCAATGACGCTGTCTGGCTTCCTTCCCTCCTCAACCCACTCAACAAGAGCCAGCAAAAGATTATGCCGACTATCCCTCGTCCCCTCCGCCAAAGGCCACGTCTGCCCGATATTCCACGCCCCGGGACCGCCGGAGCAGTGGTGCATCCCCGGGATATAGAAGAGTCTATAGAACTCGTGCATCTCGGACAGAGAGGCGTTGAGTGAAGCCTGCACGCCGCTGAAATGCCACGCTGACAGCGCGGATGTCACGCTCTCGTCGTTGCGGCCGTGGTAGGCGATGAGTTTTCCTCCTTTGGCGCGGAAGGCGGAGAGGTCTGTGCCGCCGGTGTTGACTTGGCCTGGGTTGATGTCCGTCGCGAAGTCCATGTCTTTGGTGGTGAAGTTGGAGGGCGTCCAGGCTGTGGAGTTGTATACGGCGCCGCGGAAGTAGTCTTCGAGGATGGTGTAGCTGAGTTCGGGCTTTCCTGTCGTGGTGTTGATGTTCTTGCTGAAGACGTCGGTATTCGCGCCCAGTTCGAATGGTGGGTAGACGATCTTGCCTGTGCTGTCTGCGATAGGCTCGTACGCACTGCGCACTGAGTCGATCTGTGCGGGTTGAAGGCAGACACTACCATTCAGCACACCAGCGCCACAAGCTAGGATCTCTGGATCAAAGCGGTACATGGTCGGATCGTCGATGATGCCGTCTTTAACGCCATCGAGCGGATCTAATATGTTAATTTGAGCCTCGACGATGGCCTTCCACTGCTCCTCGCGGACGTAGCTGGTCGAGTGAATATTTGGCCAGCCAATTCGACGAGCGAGAATACCCTTCGAGGACACGATTCTCAACCAATCTACACCAGGACTCCCAGCCAGGACGCCGTCGAAGTCTTCAGGATACAGCAACGCAGATTGAAACGCTTGTCTTCCTCCAGTACTACATCCTGCGTAGTAGTTGTGTTTAGGTGCTCGGCCATAGTACGCTCTCACAATCTCCTTCCCAACGCCAGCTTCCACATGAATGGCACGATATCCAAAGTCCTTGAGCACTTCCGGCTGATTCAGAAAGAAATCAGAGCCTTCACTACCATTGTGTCCGCCATTAGTCCCGAAAGATGCGAAGCCTAGCGAGGCGCCGTTCTGGATCGTTGGGTAGTCGATACAGCCACCTATGCCACCGCCGCCAGTAGCAAGAAATCTTTCGTTCCAGTCATCAGGTAGCCATGCTTCGACTTGGACACTGCTGCTCCGCGATGTTGTGACGTTGACTACGAGGCGGCAGAGGTTGGCTGTGATATTGGCTAGCTCGTTGGGTCCGCCGCAAGAAGAGACTTGATCGACCAGTGGGAATGAAGTGCCATTTTGGTGGTGAACCTCAGTGAGGACGACTGTGGTGTTTGGTGCTTGCAGAGAGGAAGAGACACCATGACACGCGTGTGGACCATGAGTCTGGGAAATGGACGAGAGAGCGTTGGTATTCACCGCACAAGCAAGCACAATTGCCAATGTCTTGGAAAGGTTCTGCATCTTGAGGTGACGATCTAATCGACAACGATGCTCCCTGTCTCAAGGATGTCTTCAAGGCCACGATGAATGGTCGCTCTTCCGAAGATCGGCTTTGAGATCTGAAGCGAATGCGGAGTGATTGCAAAGCAATGAACACTTTCAGCATCGTACCCACACATTAGACTGCGTTTGCCGGTGCGGGGATTGATGGAGCGAGAAATGAAGTTCGTGGTGATGTTGTACCGGCACCTAGACGGATTACTCTGACAGGCATCCCAATAATCCTTCTTCCCCGTGTGAGATCTCGAGATGTAACGCGAGTCCATATGAAGTACTCCCTTGCGCCAACGCTAATACCGATATCACACAGAGTAGTCTTCGAATGTCTGCACGGCCATCTACTTCGCGACGACCATCTCTCGCGCTTGTGGCTCGCGCACATATTCGTACTCGATATTTGTCTTCGGTCCCTTCGACTTCTTGCGTGGTTTGGGCGGCGCACTTGGTCGAGATCGCTTGAGGCCGTTCAACTTCTTCTTCAAAGCTGCCGTATCCTCATCATCCTCCTCATCGTCTTCGCTCTCGTCATCTTCCTCCTCATCACTGCCCTCCTCGCCACCCTCAGCATCATCAGCACTCTCTCCACCTAGCCAATCGTCGAAGTCTTCCATGTCGTCCTCGTCGTCCGACTCTTCCACATCGCTCACGTACTCAACGTCTAGCTGGCCAGGCTCCCGCTCTTCTTCGTACTCCACTTCTTCCTCATCCTCCTCGATACCCTCATCCAGATCCTCGTCACGCACACCCTCTTGACTACGCTCCAGTCCACGCATGACCTTCTTCCAGACATTCTCTTCCACGTTGAGCGGTCGATCTCCGTATGCACCGCTTCTCAATCTTTCCACCAACTCGCGCTCAATAGCTCTCTCAATCTTGGCGGCAGCCTCTGCTTTTCTTTCACGTGTCTCTTCCCTCCTCCTGACCTTTGGCGCCAGCTTCGGCACCATACGCTCGCCCAATCGCTCCTCTTCCTTTGCCAGCTTCTGTGCCCGGACCCTCACTTGCGTCAGTCGTGTAAGTCTCTGCTTGCACTTGTGCAGAAAGAACTTGGGCCAGTAAATCAACCGCTCATCGATCTGCTCCAGTGCTTTGGTGTAGTTGCTGCTCAGTCGAATCTTCTCCCACCACTTGTTGGGCATGTGTGCTCGCTCGACGGTCTTGATGTAGAGGTACAGTCGCTGAGTGCTGGGGTCGGCACGGATTGTGGCATATCGAGAATTGGCGAGGGGACAGGACTGGCGATTGCAGAGGCCGGTGACATTGTGTTCGTTGCGACAGAAAGTGCTCTTGGTGCTCTTCTGGTGGCGATCGTTGCCGGGGAGTTTGAGTTTGAAGGAGCAGAACTGCTGGTTGATGATGTTCCACACGATCTCGTCCGACGCCATCGTGAAGTCGCCGTCCTGATGTGGTCGTCGGTGGAAGTTGGGGGTGTTGGTGCAGAGACTGGGACTTTGTGGAAAAAAGTTACGCTGCAAGGTCAGCAGCGAAATCTTGGCGTCGGCGTTGGCGAGCAGAAGCTCCGACGGTGTCGGCTGGGCCTGCTGCACCTCCCTTCAGCACAAGTGTCGCGATTGAAGGTCTGCTAAGAATTCCAATGATGCTTTAACCGTCGGATTCTGCCTGCCATGCACATGACAATCGACAGTACAAAGAGCCACTCCATGCCGAAGGAACTGTAGTCGCATCCACCGCAAGGCCAAGCACTTCCTCTTTCATTCACCTCTCCAAGCCGAGATCATCCCGGCCGTTATACGAGTCCTGACATTTCGGGGCGCTCATATCTTTCATGGCTTCAAGGTAGGCCCCACACGACACCGCTCCCAGACTTACAGTGTTGATGAGGTATTGCTAGATTCAACCAGCGCGACTCGCGCAACGCCCTCTTCGCCTCCTACGACTCGCAGGCCCGCTCCCGACCCTCCTCCGCCGCCTCATCGTCTCCCGCTCCCCCGCGATCCTCCTCGCGAAACCCTCCTTATGGCGCATCCCCTTATGGTGTTGCCAGTAACGACTCGTATGCACCCGCTGGCGCTGCTTTTAGCGCATACCCAGGAGCGAACGGCGATGTGAATGGAAGAAGGAGCAATGATGGAGGTTTCAGATCCGCTACCCCGAACAACAGAGGCCAGTACAGCGACGCTGTGTTGAGCGAGTTGGAAAGCCAGAATGATGATCAGGCGAGTGAAATGAGCAAGAAGGTCAAAATGTTGAAAGATGTGAGTTGGTCTACATATTCCCAATACTTTGCGAACACCCCCGACTGATATGCTCCAGCTCACAATATCCATCGGAGACGAGATCAGGGACAGCAGCGGAATGATCGACAAGATGAACGAAAGCTTCGAAGGGACGAGAAACCGATTACGAGGGACCATGAACCACATGCTCAGGATGGCCGAACGCTCAGGCATCCCCTGGAAAGTCTGGCTGGGCTTCTTCTTGTTCGTGTTCCTGCTGTTTGCATACGTCTGGCTGTTTTGAGCGTTGTATGGGAATGTACAGTAGGTGGAAACCTTTGGCGTGGCGTTGGAGGATGGCTTTGTGGATTGCGAAGGGAAAAGCATCAGGATACAATCGAGAGCAGTCACTCTCGAATATGGTACATATGAATAAAGTGCTGAAAGGATGCACTTTGAACTGATCTCAGATCTAAAACTTCTAACCCAATGAGGAACCCGCTGGCGGCCTCATTCATGACCTCTTCTGGAAAGCACCTCGTCCTCGCAGAGACCGCATCCTCCATCCTCTTCACCGCAGACCCTCCCATCCAGCTAGACTCAATCTCCTCACCAATACACGCCAACTCAACTCTCAAGCCAAACTCCCCGGCAACGACCACCCCACCAATTTCCTCTTAACCTCAAGCACCAACCCGCCCAGCCTCTGCACCCTCGAAACCTCCACCACCCGGCCCACCGCCACAACCAACCTCGCACTCAGATTCCCCATCCCAGGCGTCGTCAAAAACCCCACCACAGCCTCCCAATTCGCCTCATCCACCAGAATATCCTGGCGCCCTTGCACCCGCAGGATCATGGTGAAGGCGACCCGGTCGATGCTGCTGTCCATGCCGAAAAGGTCGGCGGCGCGGTGGGGGAGGGGGG